CGACTTCGAGCCGCGGTGGACGCCGTAAGGCTTACTATGGTGGCCCGAGCCCCCTCGACGCGATTGCGGAGAAGATTGCTCGCCAGGGTCCTGTTCGCTCGCCGGGCGTGCAATACACAATTACTGTCCCGCGTGTCGTGCCGCTCTTGGGATGGCCTCTTTGGCTGCTTCGGGTTTACGTCTGAAGCCCGGTTCATGCAGTACCCGATACACGTTGTCCGTTCATAGACTTGGGTCTTGCAACTTCTTGGAGGATTGGTTTGCATAGTTGTGTGTTTGTATCGTCGGACGTAGTTGTCTTGTAGCGTCTTGTTGTCTTGCATGGTCTTCTTACCCTATCGGTGTTCTTTTGTAGCTCTTAAACACGATGTATCTTATCCCTCTGTGTATTCATGTTGTGTTCGAGTGGAAGTTCCACGTGTCGCGTCGGCTCCGGATGTCGTGTCTACCACACTCTACGGCTTGCTAGTGGAAGCCAAAACGCCTTCGTCTAGCCCGGCGACAATGAGACGAATGAGCGCTACGTTCGCGAGCGCATGAGCAGCTCGCGCAGCTCGACGTTTCCTCAGAGACGGAACCCCGAGGCCAGCCCGAGGTGGCGCGGCACGCGTCTTCACGTCGACCTCGCCAAATCGCATAGATGATTGACTGCTATCACCATGTCCCTCGGCACCGCAGTACCATCAGGCGGAAAGTACCCTGACCTCATCATCAACAAACATCCTCACAGATCGCATCTACTCGAGCACTCACTCGGGCTATTATAGTACCAAACGACAGTACCCTGCACGAAGTGCTCGAGGTTCTCGTGATATACCGCAAGCTGCTTGTCTACGTATTTGCCGAAGGATGGCAGCTGGCGCTTGAGATCGGCGTACTCGCTAACACGCGCTGAGAGCATGTCTGTGAGGATGTCGATCGCCGACTGGAGGCCGACGTTGCGCTCGGCCATGATGATGCAGACTAGGTTCTGGTAGTCGCCGTCTGCTTGTTCCTTCTGTAATAGATTCCTCAGAGACCCCATATATCGAGCTTAGTGGGTGAAGGCACACGTACGTTGAAAGAGCACAGATCCTGCCGACGTTGTCAGCATCCGACATTAAATCCGAAAGATATGTGAAGCTCACGTTCGGCCAAGTCATAATATCAATCGCAGCATCGGACATCGCCATCATAATCTCGTTCTCGAAGACATACTCAGGTATGTCGAGATCAAGAGAGTACTCGACCATGGCCTCGACTAATGCACCTCCGATCGTCGCACGGCGCATCAAAATGAACTCGTCCATGGGAGGGAAGAGACGGTCTTTGCGATTGGTGCTTTGTTGGACCTGCGATGTGCTCCACGCTATGAATGCGGCGCAGAACCTGTAATATCCCTCAGTTGTAATACACTGCGAGCAAAGAGTGTAGGGGTGTGGGGCTCACCGGTCGTATACACCGCGACTTGACGTCTCGCGGATGTCGTGGAGTATGCTGCATCCACAATGAGCTCGCGGTTGGACGATGGCATCAAGAAGAACTCACTCATACAGCATCGCCGCATACGGATACGACGGCCTCGGAACGTCTTCATCGCGAAGGAGACGCATACTGATATCATGCCCAGCTCGCACATCGCTCGGCGAGTCTTGGAAGTCCCCTTCGTCCGAGAGATCGTCGGTCTGCCACTGTGAGTAATAAGCCATCCGTCTGTAAGGTTCAGTGACGTACCGAGAACGCCCATAGAAAGAACATGAGGCACGTCTTGAGGTGGCGCGCATCGGCGTTCGGGAACGAAAGAGCAGCGAAGAGGTCGAATCGACCGACGCTCAGATACTTGTCGAGTTTCTTCTCGTCGTAGACTCCGATGCTGCGCGGGAACTATCGTAAGCTCAGATCTACGGTCGTGTCGAGATGGCGCTCTCACCTCTTGAACCACTCTCGAGCGGCCTTGTCCGCGACCTCTTGGTGCGGGCTGCGTTTGAGAGCGAAGACGGGTGCGGTGATTGAAGCTAGGTTCTTGAGAGAGTAGTTGGGTGGGAAAGATGGGGCGTTGTGCTCGAAACGGGAGAGCTGGGTCTCTGGGTCTTCCTCCTTGTCGATAGTGGTGCCGGAGTAGGGTTGAAGATTGTGGTTGAGCAAGGTCGTCATATTGTGAATAAGACCTCGTGGAGGTCCTGCTATTCATAGGTATCGCTTATATACTTGCAAGTAGATCTGCCCGGCCATACAAAGTCGTCAGCGTCCATGTAGCGCTCAGGGACTGCGATTGCGATTCGGTGGCCTGACGAGATAGCGGGTGGTCCATGGCCTTGGAGTCATCGTATGATCGTACGTCCGGCTTTCTCCGAGGGACACTGTTTTGAGGACATCGCGCAAGCATATCCATCGAGCTAAAAGCTCGGAATATATCTTCCGGCTGTTCTGTGTTTCGATCGGTGGTCGCTCGAGAAATAGTGCCAACTCGGAGGTAAGTGGTAGTCTGAGGCTCCAATACGGGGATAACAATATCATGGTGGACCGAGAGTAATGAGAGTCTTCGGAGTCTCTCAAAGCCCATCTGAAGGCAGATGTAGGCCTAAACAGCGCCGTATCCGTCGTTGTGAGAAGAGATGACCGGAAGTGCTGCCAGTAAGGAGGACGACTCGGCGCAGCTCTCGTAACTTGAATGTGTTCAGGAACCGCGGGCACGGCGCCACTTGTGAGATAAGCCACAGTCTGCATTGGTAAGTATGACACGTTTGTGAGAGTTCATCTGATAGTGCCGCGACAAGACGCGAGATGGCAGTCGGGACCAAGGCGAGGACGCCTGGCGAGGTGAGTCCGCGGGGGCCACCGGCCCGAACCGGCCCGAACTAGTACTCGCGGCTCGTCGCCCGCCTTCGTTGGTCCTCAACTTGAACCACGATGTGCGCGCTGCTCAGCCCGATGTCCCATTTGCGGTATCCTATATTATGGCTCTCATTGGATTAAGTGAATCTCCGCCGTACCCACCCATCAGTCCACGAGCAGCGCCGCTGCGATTGGAACGTTCAGCAATTGCCCTGTCGCCCCTTCCGATTCCCCTTGCGAAGCGACTCCGGATGCATAGCACTGATACGTCTTGAGGATATGTGGCGTATACATATGATGGTGTGAGAGCTGCGTGCGCAATCCTCCCAAGGAGATAGGCCCGACAGGGACATTGGTCCTAACATCTATCAGACGATACCGGCGCGAACTCTACTCGTCGCCTTCTAGTGGATGTGCCGGTCCAGCGAATCTCCCATATACCGAGCTGCTATGCGTAGAAGATGTAGCACTCTCACCGTGCTGTCGTCGCAGTGTCCAGTAGCCGCCCCACAAGAAACCCATGAAGATGAGCGCCAGCGTACTTGCACAACTGTACCACGCGAACGAGCACCTAGCCCTCATGGGCGGCGTAGTGGCTGCGTTTACCCTACTTGCCATTGTGCATCGTCTTAGCAGCTCCCGGCGCAAGCTTCCTCCTGGACCTCCCGGCTGGCCCATCATCGGCAATATACTACAGTTGCGAGATGAGCCATGGGTCAAGTTCAGTGCATGGCGACAGGTGTACGGTACGTCTCATTACCATCGGCAACACGCTCGATGCTGATGTAGCCGTGTGCATAGGCGACGTTGTCTGCGTGAGCGCTGCGGGCCAGCCAATGGTCGTCCTCAACAGCCGCGACAGCGCGATCGAGCTTCTCGACCGGCGCGCAAGCATCTACTCGGACAGACCGAGGAAGATCGTAGCTAATGATATCCTCTGCGATAGCCTTCTGCTTCCCCTTCTTCGGTATGGCGAAACGTGCGTGCGTCTTTCTGTCGGATGCATAGCAGTACACTTAAGTAGTACAGGTGGCGACCAACACGTAAGGCTGCGCATGAGTCTATGAACAAGGCTGCCGCCCGAAGCTTCAACGAGTATCAGCGTGAGGAGGCTCTCATTCTGGCACGTGATGCTATACAGGATTCAGCGGGCTGGGAGACACACATCCGTAGATCTTCTGCCAGCATGTTGCTACGCTGTCTGTACGACCAGTCACCGGTACGACATTCCCTACGGTTTGAAGTGATCTTGGCTCATCAGTGCTGTAGGTCTCCAGCGACCACGACACCCGTCTCAGACAGATCAACGACTTCACCCTACGCGTAACGCTAGCAACGTTACCGGGAGCGTATTGGGTGCGTCACAGCTCTCTGTCTGTCGTTATCGAAGTCCATGTTCACCATGCCTAGGTTGACGTGCTGCCCTGGATGCGCCACATCCCAAGCATCATTGCACCTTGGAAGCGCCGCGCTCAAGAGTGGTACCAAAAGGACAACAGAGCCTTCCGCAGTCTCTTCGAAGAAGTGCACAAAGATATCGTACGGTGTATCATCTTGAGCGATGAGTCTCTGTCTGACATCGTTCTAGGATGACGGTTATGAGCGAGCGTCGCTGAACGCTTCACTTGTTCGCAAAGCGGATCGTACTCGCTTAAGCGTACACGAGAGCTCATGGCTGACAGCATCCGTATAGTGCGTTGCTCACTGGCTCTAGACACTGATTGAATCTCATACAGTCTGCAGTGCAGCAGGCTCAGATGCTATACGTGCCGCTCTCAGCTGGTGGACCCTCGCAATGCTACTCTACCCTGAGACGCAGAGGCGCGCTCAGAAAGAGCTTGACGCCGTCGTCGGTCGCGCCCGAGTGCCTACATTCGCAGACACGGCCAACCTACCCTATATCTGCGCTATGGTCCGGGAGGTGGTGCGCTGGCGACCGGTAACTCCCCTCGGAATGTGAGTCATACGAGTCCAGAACCCAACTTGCATGTCTGACCAGTCTCTTCATCGCATTCACAGCCCTCACGTGAGCACCGAGGACGACTGCTATGAAGGATATGTCATCCCGAAAGGCACAATCGTCTGCGCGAACGTCTGGGAGCTGAATCGCGACCCCGAAGCCTTCGGAGCCAACGCAGACGACTTCAACCCTGAGCGCTACCTCGACGAGAAGGGCAAGCTATTGCCGAGTCCGATGGGTACGAAGGATGATGGCAGCTACACCTTCGGTGCGTCCTCTCTCAGAGATCTTGACAGGAATTTCACGCGCTGATGGAGCTTCACAGGGTTTGGTAGACGGTGCGTGATCAGAGGCAAGTGTGAGTGCAGTCCACACTCACTCACGCGGGAGTTACAGGATCTGTGTAGGAAGGCACGTCGCGAATGATAGTCTATTCATTGATATCGCCACCTGCCTCTGGGCATTCTCTTTTGTCAACTTCGACGTTCAGAAACTCGACGCGAATGGCTACATCGACGAGGGCACGATCATGTTCGTACTCTATGCAACTGGGTGATGATGAGAGCTGATCAGCCGCAGAGTCCCCAGACCTTTCGAGGTTGATATCAAGCCTCGGTTCCCGGAAGCTATCGAGATCCTTCGTCAGGAGTGCGAGCTTCGGGGCCGTTGAAGCGTGGGCGTATCCACAATCGTTATAGAATATGGTGGAGTGCGACGATCTCGAAGATCCGCGTGCGATCTTGCAGGCACCACATTGGTTTCCATATATGGTTTGGCGACAAGAATTTTCGTTACAACGCAGAAGTCCTATTTCGTACAACGCGTATGTTTTACAAGAAATGTCCCTTTACAATCCACCCATCAACCCAAACGAAGGCATGCTATAGTAAGAAAGATAGATGACCGGGCGCCATAGCCCCAACATCGCGCACATTCATGAAGCGCTGCGTCGCGATGAGCACCGCTGCACGCTGGCGGAGGTAGAGACGTACACAACTACTTCCTCCCATAGAGCGAGTACGAAGAGACCTGTTCGCACATAGCGTCCAGCGTCTTAGGCCGCGAGATCTCAGGCGGCCCATTAGGATCGCGCCTCGAGCTCGACGGCGGTCCTCCGCTTCCATGCGATGAGTACGGCCCCCATCCATTAGCCCTGGCGATCTGTGTCAACGGCTGACTGGGATCATCGAAAATACTCGAGGACTTGTCGATGGTCTGGTACCGCTCCGCATCCATCTTCGCGCGGCAATGCGGCAATGGCTGGCCGTAGTAGGTGTAGATCGTGTCACCGCCACCGCCCAAGCGCAGAGGCGAGCCGTAGTACGTGTAGCTCGCGGGCTGCTTGTCTTTGAGGCGAATGCGGTCGATGTTGTTGATCACCGCATCGAGAGGGCTCGCACCGCCGTAGTTACCGCCGCCGGGCCCATAACTGCTGCTGCGAGCCGACGATGTCGCCACTGAAGACGAGCGAACGCTAGCAGCGGGACGTGGCTGAGCTGGGCGACCACGAGTCTTGGGCGCGGTCGTAGAGACAGTAGAAGAACGAGAGAACTGAGGGCGCTGTTGCTGCGACATTGTCGGGGGAAAGGGGAGATAGTGATGGTACAGGGCAGGTTTATGCTTTCGCCTGACGACGGGTTCAAATACTGAGCGAGGCTGGAGCGTTACGCCGCCTTCTCCGTTCTTCGAGAAGTGGTATGCCCAAGTCCAGAAGCGTACAAGCTTTCGCGCCGAGGGGTAGCGGAGCGACTGGGAGCGCACCAACGGGGCGCTTGGGGCTGGACCTGATATTCGAACGCGATCACGTGGGATACAAGTAGTATGGTGTACACTGGCTCGAGTAGGGTTTGAGACTTCTCCACGGCTTTCGCGACGGATATGAGTGAGAAAGTCGCTATAGACGACTTGAAGATGGTGGTACGATCTCAAGAACAGGGTACGACGATTGAGCCCGAGGGATAACGCGTGCTGTCACTTGGCCGGGTCACACGTGGACGTTGAACGGGGCTGATCCTCTTGACGACCGCCTCGCATGCCCGCAGCATTACCTTGCGTTGCAAGGTTTCTCCACCGCGACAATTCGGCCAGGCACCAACCAACCATCAGATGATCATGATGGGTGTCGGCAATGCCCGATGACGCGCTCAACGAACGCGCCGCGAGAACGCTCCTTTGCCTTGGATAGCGACTGCCATAGGCCGTTCTTGCGATGGCATATTAGTTGAAAGAGAGGCTTAGGGTCCTCTACGCTCTTTTTGAGCTGGTGGAAGGTGTAGAGAAGGCCCCTCACACCGGATGCCACCTCTGACCGGAGATTCGCAAGCTTCTAGTATCTGAGCCACTTCGCCTCAATCGAGGATTACTCCTGCGCGGAAGACAGATGTGAACGACACGCAGAGCAAGCGACCACCGTGCAGCAGACAGCTGAAGACATCTCAAGTCGTGAATCAAACCGTTCAGGATGCAGATGAACGAGTACGTGCAGGATCCCTTCGCACTACGCACAGCTCGGTCGATATCTCTTCACATAGTTGTAATGGGCAGTACTCTGCCACGATGACGACCAACGCAAGGTTCATGCCGGCGCCAGCCGGCCCTTCCTCGTAGCATTTGTACAGTAAAACCGAGAACGCTCAGGTATAGATGCTACTAATAAAGAGCGACTTCTTCAAGAGACAGAGGGTTATGCGTGAGAAGGGATGATACGCGCATGTCGATTTCCCTCGTCGCCTTGTAGATCTCCATCAGCCGGTTGAACGATCCGCACTGCGAACCGGCGCCACATATCATCGACAGTAAGATCGCTGAGACACCTCTTGAGATGCCGCTTCATTCCACCCGGGTTTATCAATGTGCTGTGGCAGACTTCGCATTGACCCCGGAAGGCATGAAGATGGACGTCCAGAACGTGTATACGGTAGTTGCGCGCGTCGGTAAACGCTCCGCACTCTTGGCCTTGCTCGTCAGTCCACCTGCACAGTGTACGCCCTTCAGCGGTGAACGTATCATGGCGGTCGACGAAATGCGCGCGCAGACGTGATTCATCCATTGGTACCGTCCTTCCACAGTTATTGAAACGGCAGAGCATGGTAGGGGGCAGAGGTTTATCGGCCCTCCAAAGGCGTTCTTTGAGGAAGATGAATGAGGCTTCGTCGAGGTTGAAGGGCGGAGGATCGTTGTCGCGTGGCGTGGAGCACACCCCGTTTTTGCCTCGTCGCCTTTCCCTTGTGCGCTTAGGCTTCATTTCTAGCAGTCGCGCATTCGGTGGCGGCGATGCCGTTCGGGACAATGGGTTGCTCGTAGTGTCAGCCTGCGTGTGCACGTCATACTCCGGTGTGTTATCGTCCCATGCCGACGGATCGACCGGGTACAGGCGGCCCAGTTCAAGAGGTGCACGAGGAGACATACTAGGGGCGCAACGATAGTGCGAGGCGCCAGGAGAGTAGAGCGATAGTTGCGCCATGCCTTCATACTGACCATCCGACGTTGATCCGTCCACGCTTCCCCAGCGCCTAGAGTTGAGAGGTACGGCATCATACCAGCCCTCATGTGCCCTCGCCGTCGTCACTATCGTCGAGTTTGAAGTGCTACGATGACTCTTTAGTAGACGTATCTCACTTTCCGAGCCAGATAAAACTTACAGTGGGGAGGTCATTCTCTCAAGGGTAGGGTCATACGCTTGCATGCCAACAACATTTGACAGCGGGCTGATAGCCGCGTGAGTGCAAGTGCAGCAGGTGGGGCCAACATGAGCTCACCGAGGCTCATAACACTGAGAGCCCTCTCGAGTGATTTCGTCGACCCATGTCCGCACCATCCGTCGATCCAGACATGGGACCTTACGACCCGTAGTCCCAATACCAACATGAACCCATGTCGAGTCTGGTGCTGGAACACCACTTTCAAGGCCACTACACCCCGGCAGGGGCGTATCGAGTACGGTAGGGGGAGTCGGACAGGCTGAAGATCCACGGTGTGTGTCTCCGGAACTGGGCATGTCGATGTTCCAGGATCGTACTGCTGGGTGCTGCGCGAGGGTACGACAACCTCAGCCGGGGGCAGAGAACGTATCCTGGAATAGGGCTACTTGTACTCGTTCGTCGCGGCGAGACATCAGAGAGCAGGTGTCATGGAGTCAGAGATCTTCGAGTCTAGGAGCCTTTTGGGAACGCCCATGTACATTCACAGACTGGGTATTCGAAGTAGAACGATTGAGCGCCTCTTTGCAGTCGAGTGAATGGCCTCGGGCCGCACAGAAGCATGTGAAGAGCGCCCGCGCAACCTGAGTCTGCCAGCGGATGCATTTCGAGCGTGTTGTACTGTATAGTCCGTAGAGCTTCTTCGATCATGGTGGAGAGAAGAGTCCGGAGCGCTGATAAGTTTGCTGGCGCTACCGCGCGAACGCGCGCCGCGGCTACTGCTGTAGGTTGCCTTCCACCACCACCTTCGTCGGGTTCTTCGCAACGGCAGCCGTCTTAAACTGCATGCTATAACGAGAATGCATTGATGCTTGATTATCTTCCAGTGTGATACCGGGCGTCGACACGCAGTATACAGTACTCAGCGTAGCCGCACCAACCCGAACCGTGCAAGTTCAACTTAGCATTCGCCACCAATATCGGACTCTCATCCATCTCATTCCCTCTCCAATGAGAATTCGGACACCATCCTACACCATCAGACGACGTCAACGCTTCTTCAATCCCACTGCGCCCCCGAACCTATTGCTCGCCTTTCTATACCCTCGCGCAATTCAAGATCAACGCCCTCCAGTCCTCGTCGCCACTCCCTATACTCCTTCCTGCCCAAATCGCCCCAACCCAGTCGACGATGAAGCTCCGGCCATAGGAAGATCTTGTAGAAATATCTCATGAAGTTGTCGTACGCGAGCACGTCTCGGGACGCGGCGCTGTCTGTGAGGGTCGCGATACGGGTGTTCGGGCGCCATACTTCGTCGAACGCAAGGATGCAGTTGACGGCTTCATCTGCACTGAGCCGCCATTCGTGTGCAGCGGCGCGCGCCGCTCCGACTACACTAACTCGGCTTAGGATCTTTGAGCGTGGTTCGATGTCAAATATCCTCGCGGACAGGCTGCTGGACGGCTGCCCCGTATTAATGCCCCTCCGTGGACAAGTATCGGCATCCCAACGTACCGGAGTGCCAGAATGCTGCTCATCACTCTCCTTCGCGCGTACTCTAGCGGCCGCTTCTTGGACATAACGCGTACTATGACGCCATCGCTCCCCATTGTCGGGCCAGACCGCATCCCAGATGTCTTCGTCAACGCCACCGAAGAGCCCCACTAAGTCTTCCGTCGTGTATTGATGACCTCCACCGAATCTATTGAAGATATGAACCGCGTCGCGTTCTTCGAGGCGGTCTCTGACAGTCTTATAGGGTCCATTGGCGTGAGAACTGCGATCGCTGCGCCTCGACATGCTGGCGACTAGACGGCGGAAGGGTGCAGAAAATGGCGATAACCTGATGCCCTGTCAAGGGTCGATAAGTCGTCTACCTTAGTTGCGAAGCTCGCTTACTTATAAATGCCAGCTCGGGCGCTTATGATAGTGTGAGAGATCGTGCTACTCTGAAAGGATCTATCACTACCAACGGTAGATCAGAGGCAATCTTCGAATATGATGCTCTAGTTCGCAGCACTCACAAGCTCTACAGGAACCTCCCCAGCGCAGGGAATCGTCAGCCAGTACGCTTTACTAAGTCTCGCACACGACCCTTTCGCCTTCCTGGCAAGCTCGCCGACACTCGTCCGCTCCTTGACGGCCGCGAGAACAGCTGCTATCTCGCATCAGCTGACAAGTATCATGGACTTTCCATCAAGTCTTCTCTCGCGTTGCTGTGACCAACCTTCACGTACACCTCTCCGGCCGGATCTGGGGAAACAGGTAGCGAGCTACGTCGTAATGCGGTTGACGTACTGCGGTTGAATACTGCTTCCGCCACAACATGTCGAAGGCAGGCAAACATGACCTTGGCTTTTCGCTCGTACAATGACCATATCCGTTCCGAAGGTACGGGTCGAGAGCCCATCACTCGCCTCACGCGCCCCGGCGAAGGCTTATACAAGACGATGCTCAAAAAGCGACGCACTCATACCATCCTCCTACTCCTTCGTTGTCGTCGATCATGGCGTGTCGCCCTGATTTTGCGGATCAGCAAACGGGATCGACGAACGAGCAACTACCATGCCTCCCCGCCCGGATCTTGCGACGGTGTTCACCTATAAGCGGCAATGAGGAGGCCTTTCCCGAATTCCCATTCTATCAATTCTTCTGCTTACACTCCTCCCATGATCCAGAAGCTCGAACAAACCGAGCGGCTTGTGTGGCTTGTCACGGGTGAAATCGCCGTATCTACCCTGTACTACTTGAGCTGACCTCTTTCTTCAGGCGCCTCAAGCGGCCTCGGACTTGCGTTGGTCAAGCGTATTCTTGCGCGCGGGGACCGTGTCATCGCAACGGCGCGCACACCCTCCAAGTTCAGCAGCCTTCTCCCCGACGCCTCCCCAGACCAACTGCACACCGTCTACCTGGACGTAACAGCCCCCTTTGAGGACATTCAACGTGTCATGGATGCCGCAGTATCGCGCTGGGGACGCATAGACATCCTAGTCAATAATGCCGGCCTGATCGATACGATCGGGCCTGGCGAAGAGCTCGGGTTCGTCTTCGCGTCCATCTCTGTAGAGCAGGACGACCTCGGGATCTGACCAATGAAATACGAGGACGAGTGGTGTGTTCGAGCGCGTCATGGACACGAACTTCTTTGGTGTGGTGAAGTGTACGAACGCCTTGCTGCCGCATATGCGCGCTAGGAAGGAGGGGACTGTACTGATCGTGGGGTCAAGATCGGCATATAAGACTGAGGCTCCGGTACGTACCTGTCTGTGAGCCAGGTACCTTTATCGAGGACTCACCTTCTTTGTATAGGGCGTCGGTGAGCACTGGAGTACTCAGGTTGTAAACCTGACCGTCTTGCTGATCTTCTTTACCAGGCGCATACGGCGCATCCAAAGCGGCAGTGCATGGTACGCTTCGCTCCACGTCTAGCAGTCACGCTAGTCTTTAATATGACACGTAGCATATGGGGAGACGCTCTCTACCGAACTCCGTCACCTGAACATACGCGTCACGATCGTAGTCCCAGGTCTCTTCCGCACCCCGTTCAACTCGCCCTCGCTCGCGGAGCCTAAGTTCGATGACTACAAGGCCTTCCACGACGTTGCACCGGCATACTTGAAGAAGCGTCAGACAGACTGCGAGGCAGCCGATCCGGATAAGGGCATGGACGTTGTTGTTGACGTTGTGCGCGGGGAAGGGAGAGCGACCGGGAAGAACGGATGGCCGCTTTGGCTTGTGCTGGGCGACGATGCACTGAGTGATGTTGAGACAAAGTTGGAGAGTATTGGACAGACTGTGACGGCATGGGGCGACGTTGGGAGGTCTCTGAAGATCGAATAGACCACGTACAATGATGTCTGTCAGTACTTAGTAGATGTAATCGAGATATCAGATATGCTTCGCTCTCCTGAGCTTAGATCAAGCACGCTCGCAGAAGGTAAATAGATCTGCTGAATGTGCGCGATACGCTAAGACTGAGGTGTATAAACGCTATCCGCCCTTCCCGACATAGTGACTCGCTTCCATCGCGTCTCCCTTCAATTTTGCTCGCTCTCGACAAGCAACATCCCTTCCTCGTGCTCGCACAGTAGTTCGGTCTCATTATTGCTCCTCTTGGTTTCCAGAAGCGTGCTGCTGCCTTCATCTTGTACGCATTCGTCCAAGGCCATTTCCGGAGCCTTTGGATCCAGTTCTTCTGTACGACGCGCTTCGTGCAACATCCCACGTGACCGCGTTTTGCCTTATTTCGCATCTGGGCGTGCGGTGCGCATGCAGGTTGTTCTTGAACGTCAATGCGCCGCTTGCGCCGTATCTGTCGAAGATGCGCTCTACATCGCGCTCTACATCCCTGGGCATACTGTTGGACTCACGTCCGTGAGAGCTCCCCTCGCCTTAGAAGGCCATGCCCAACGCCCCTGAGGTCTATATCGTGGTTCAGATCCGAAGACTGTCATCTCCAAAGGTTCTCTGGAAGCGGCGAGCTGTAAAGCTACTCGTCACTTACTCATCTGTCCACTTGTGATGCCACGCTTGCGATAAAGCGGGAGGCGACGATGCCGAAGTGCGCAAGTTATACGCCGGGAGGAGACTCTCAGATCACTGTCACATTCGCAAGCCTGAACCTCACCACGGCTCTTCCTCGCTTCAGCCATGAGCACATCAAGCTCTTCTCGTACTGCGGCGACCAACGTCACTCCCATCCCGGCCGCATCTGGGAAAGAAGTGTCTTGCTTTGTTGTCACTTGATCCCACGTAGCGCGGCTGACTAAACCCCTGTACGCTCAGTTGAGCACAGGCTACTTGGACAGGAACCTGCGCTCACGCAGTATCCGTACACATTGAGGCATATTTAATGGCTCACCGCTTCCGAGTCTTGAGGACTTCTATGTGGAGAGATGCGCGAGAACGACAGCACGTCCAATATCGAGTGGAACCCTGGCGCTAACCCACCGATTCAATCAATGAGATCGTCAAACGCAGGACGGCGGACGTACCTCCCATCCCGATCGAGTCTTGCTGCGCCCTCAACCTATAAAAGCAACAGCCAGGTCTTCAACGTGGGCCTTCGCGTTCTCAGGTAGACGGAAGAACATGATCCAGCACCTCGAAGATCCCACGCAGCTCGTATGGCTGGTCACAGGTTTGACTCTCGTCGCCCACCCTCCATTAAACTTCCCGACGTGCTTTCATTAGGTGCCTCAAGCGGTCTTGGACTTGCGCTCGTTAAGTGCATCCTCGCTCGCGGCGATCGCGTCGTCGCGACGGCTCGCGATCCCTCTAAGCTGGACGCGCTCATGCCCGTTCTCGACGTCTTACCAGGACGGTTGTATATCACGTACTTGGATGTGACGGATACGTCAGAGAAGATACAATCTATCATGGATGCAGCGATACTGCGCTGGGGTCGCATCGACGTGCTAGTTAACAACGCCGGCATAGTCGAGGCCATTGGGCCCGCTGAGGAGCTTGGGTGCGTCTTCACGTTGGTCACTCGTATGCAGAGCGAGCTCAAAGTCCATTCAATGAATCGTCAGGACGACCGATCTCTTTCGGAGTAACATGGAAACGAACTTCTTCGGCGTGGTGAAGTGCACGAATGCGATTTTGCCGCACATGCGCGCAAGGCGGGAGGGGACGATTGTCATTGTAGGATCAAGATCTGCGTTCAAGACTGACGCTCCAGTACGCCTTCATCCGTATCCCATATGTTTATCTACGACATTGAAAGCTTACTGTACCTGAACAGGGTATTGGTGAGCATCAAGACCTGCGTAACGTGTGTCTAACCCGGTTAGCTCACCATCTAATAGGTGCATACGGGGCATCCAAAGCTGCCGCACACGGTATGCATCCACACTACTTCTGAATCGTCATATAACTCATTTTCTGTAGCTTATGGAGAGACAATTGCCTCCGAGCTTAGCCGCCTAAACATCCGAGTTACTATCGTGGTCCCCGGTCTCTTCCGCACTCCCTTCAACTATGCCTCTCCGGTTAAGCCCAAGTTTGACGACTACAATTTCTTTCACGATCACGCTCCAGCGTACTTGAAGATGCGCAGAACTACACCAGAAGCGGCTGATCCAGAGAAGGGCATGGACGTTGTCGTTGACGTCGTGCGCGGAGAAGGGAGAGCGGTGGGTACGGGCGAGTGGCCGCTTTGGCTTGCACTGGGCGATGACGCATTGACCGATGTCAAGTTCAAGTTGAGTAACATCGGAAAGACGTTAGCTGTGTGGGGTGACGCTGGAAGGGGTCTAAAGATTGAGTAATCAAACAAATCATCATGGAAAACCGTTAGTAGTGGATTGGCAGAGATAAAGCTGCAAGGATGAGCACTTTGTGAAGGCATAACCGTGAGACGGATCTGAGAACTGAAATACTGTGAGATATTGAGTTTAAAGCTGCTGTAATGCTCTTCGTATAAGATTGGCGGTCCCGCACGAGCGCTATTTACCCCTATTTGCTATTCGCGCTCAAGTCGCGCTCAACAGGTCCTCTCCCTGCTTGCTCACGACCACCATCATCCCCTCCACGCCGGCGCCGCTCCCTAGCCTCTTCATCTCACATTGATTTAATCTTCTGGGTGGTTTACTTCGCGTTTCATACGGAGCGTACCAGAGTCTGGGTTTGGCGTCCGCTACCAACTTTTCCGCGCGACGCGCTGACGGGCTTCGTGTGATATCACACGTGACCGCGTCCAGACTGCTCTCCGCATTTTTGGACGAGCGCGCGCAGGTTACTCTTGACCTTCGTACGCTGCTGTGTACACCCTATCCGCCTCAGAATATCCCACTGAGTCGAAAAAAATCATTACGAGTGACTCGGATAAGCAGCCTACACTATCATGTCTACCCTGGGAAAGCGCAAACAGCGTGAGGAGGCCCCCGAATCTTCTGAAGCCCATGGGTACGCGCGCGTCCTCCGCGACTGGCAATGCGATATACTGAATATGTCATAGATCAACGCTATTTGTATCAAATCTGCCCTATACTGCAACGTCCACCGACCTTCAAACTATCTTCTCCGATCTCGCGCCCGTACGCTCGGCGTTCGTAGTCACCGAACAGGGCACCGGTGTCTCAAAAGGCGTGGGTTACGTCTCGTTTGCTGCAAGAGAAGATGCCACGAGTGCTATGGAGGAGATTCAGAGAACCGGTCTGGCTATTCAGGGAAGGAATCTGAGGGTTACTTGGGCAGATAAGGTGTGTTCTTTACCCCATGACCATCTGTTTCGAAGATTGAGATTATTTCGCAGAAAAAGGACAAGAAGTCCGGAGATGCTGCGGCTACAGATGACGGCGAGAAGAAAGTCAAGAAGGAGAAGGACACCAAACCCCGTCAACCTACCGGTCCTCGCGACCCGCTCGCGATTCGTACAGTCGCTGTATCCGGTATTCCACCAGGCGTTGACTCGAAAGCACTTTGGAAGAAATTCCGCAAGACGCGCGGCGCAGAAAGCGTCGAATGGCCTGTGAAGAGCGCTGCAGGCGTAGAAGACCCTACAGTCGGTACGTACAGTTGATTCCCTCTATATGTTCACGCGTTGATTCATGTCTGTGCTCAGCCCACGTCCTATTCGATACACCCGCAAACGCGTCTTACGCCCTCCCCAAACTCCACGCTCACGTCTACAAAGGCGCACTCCTGTCTGCAACCCTCAAGAAGCGGCTCGACGGTGTATCGAAGCCGGTCGCTGGCGCTGTAGCCAAGGGTCCAGCACCCTCCCATGCAAGCAGGCTCATTGTGCGTAACCTGCCATTCGACGCCACCGAACAAGATCTACGTGCTCTATTCCTTCCATACGGGACAATTTATTCTATACACATTCCACAAGCCGCACCTCAGCCTACACCGGCTATTGCGACCCAAGACGATGGAGAGGTGAAGGAGGAAGAGGAAGGCAAATCTTCGATCCCGAAACCGCGCGGAAAGGGCTTCGCGTTCGTGTGGATGTGGACGAAGAAAGAAGCGGAGAAGGCTATGGAGGGTGCGAATGGCGCCGTCGTGAGAGCTGGGATGGCGGATGAGCTTGTCAGGGATAAGCAAGTACGGAAGAAGGATAGGAGGGAGGCGAAGAAGAAGGCTCAGGCTAAAGCGGCTGGAGCTGAGGGTGTCGAGGGCGAAGAGGGGGAGGGTGTGGCAGACGGGGAGGGCAAAGAAGAAGACAAGGGCGCGAGGACCATTGCTGTTGATTGGGCGTTGAGTAAGGACAAGTGGGAGGAGGAGAAGTCAAAGATGGAAGTGGATGGTGCAGAGGATGCCAGCGAAGAGGAGAGCGAGGATGAGGAAGGGAGTGACGGGGATGAGAGCAATAGTCATGTCGGCTTGAACGAGGACAGCGACGTCGATATGTCGGACGACGACGATCGTAGCGATGATGAGGCGCCGACAAAACCAGCGCTCCCTGCTCCTGAGGCAGGCACGACGCTCTTCGTCCGCAACATCCCCTTTGAGGCTACGGAAGACGAGCTGCGAACACTGTATGTTGCATCTCACTCTCATCATTCATGTACAGTTTTCTCACAGTTCACATACAGATTCCGCGTCTTCGGTCCCCTACGATACGCACGTATCACGATGGACCACGAGCTGGGCCGCTCGCGCGGTACTGGCTTCGCATGCTTCTGGAACAAAGAAGACGCGGACAAAGCCGTCGAGCTGAGCGATACTCTGCGTGCAGAGACGACTGGCGCTGCACCTAGTGGGGTACGTTTTTCGCCTTCTCATGGAGCTCTAATATGTGACTAATGTCCATATGTCTTTACAGCCGAAGAAGAACCCGTTCATTATGCCCTCCATCCTCACGCCCGATCCATCAAGCGCCTCCGCGCAGAGTCTGGTTTTGCACGGTCGTACACTCGACGTCGTACGCGCCGTCACGCGCGATGAAGCTACGCGTCTCAAAGCCGAGGGAGAGAAAGCACGCGAGAAGGCCGACAAGCGCAACATGTACCTCCTCCGCGAAGGCGGTACGTCCTCTCATGCTTACCTTCCTTTATCTGCGATGACCCCTGATGTATCTCATAGTGATCCTACCCAATACCCCCGCTGCATCAACCATCCCGCCCGTCGAACTCGAGAAGCGGTCAAACTCCTACAACGCCCGCCGCACCCTCCTCAAATCCAACCCGGCCCTATACGTGTCCAAAACGCGGTTGAGCATCCGTCAACTCCCACGTACAGTCACCGAAGGCGGGCTCAGGCGTATGGCGCAGTTCGCCCTCCGCGCGTTCGACGCGGAAGTTAAAGAGGGCAAACGCGCTGGGTTGACGGAGGATGAGCTGTCTCCCGAACATGATAAGGTTGAGGAGCAGGATGAAGGGAAGGAGGAGAGGGAGAAGAAGGGCGGGAAGGGCAAGCCGAAGGGGAAAGTTAAGCAGGCGAAGATCGTCAGGGAGAGCGGGAGGGTGGATGTCAAAACAGGGCTGGGGAAGAGCAAGGGATACGGCTTCCTCGAAATGCGCGCGCATGCCGACGCCTTGCGCGTCCTCCGTTGGGCGAACAACAATCCCGAGCTCAAGAAGATGTGGCCTGTATGGGAGAAGGAGGCCAAGGAGCTGGCTGAGAAGGCGAAGGGAAAGAAGGGCGAGGTCAAGGAAGAGGAACAGAAGGAGGCGAAGAAAGCGAAGGTCGGAAAGGAGGAGGAAGATCGAGAGACGAAGGGATCGCTCATCGTCGAGTTCTCGATCGAGAACGTGCAAGTCGTGCAGAGGCGCACAGCGAAGGAGGATGCGGCACGGTCGTCGAAGGTACGCACTTCTTCTGCCTATCTCTCAGTCACACATAACTCATTTGCTCTGCAGGGCAAAGACGAGGTTCACAAGCCTCGCGAGAGGCTCGCGCTACCGAAACGTGAAGAGGATGATACTTCGCCGAGAAAGAAACGTCGAATGGGTCCTCCCAGCATCGGCGCGCCGAATAAAGAGGAGGGCGAGGAAAAGAAGGGCGGCAAGAGCTCATTGGGCGCCGTCATTGGGAGGAAGAGGAAAGAGAGGAAGGCAAAGCGCGGATGAGCTCTTGGTGCGCCTACTGTGTATTCCGTTCGATCTATAATCGAATATGTTATCTTGTTTCTGCCATGAAGGTTTTCTCATCCGAGAAGCCCATGTGCACCCATGTGCGCCCATGCGCACCTGCGACGGAGCAAAGCGACTACGTGCCGGGCTGCGTGCTGCGGCCGGGAATAGCGCAGCTTGAGCGTTCATCTATGCTTTCCCGTCCCTCTTTCTCCGCGTCCCTCCTCTCAGCACGATGTCTATGTTTAACTCGAGCGCAGTCGACACAGCCGCCAGCGCTTCAGCGACAGCTCTCCGTAACGGACGGGCTTCTACCTGTCTGAGGTCTCATACTGTCCTGCCAGGCTCCAGTTAGGATTACATGAAGGCGAAACGGCTGGCCTGAGACTGCAGACCCCTCGTGTTTGCTATGACAACCCTGCCATCTTCTCGTGGTTGGCTTTGTAGGCGCCCGACCAGACTGCTCATTCCGCAGTCATGCACAAATAGCCACCAGACCGATGGTCGCTCTCTTGATAGATGCGGGAAGTGTTCTTCAAGTCTCGATGATATAGGGCGAGTGTGCGCCGTTTGACCCCCATCTGCATTGTGCTAACGACAGTTTCACAGGCAACACTGTAGAGGCTGCTTCTCACACTTCAGGGGTCCGTGCATGTGAGTTAACTATAGGTCATTTCGATCGGAGTGTCATTGTGCTCATTGCGAACTTACGGATGTACAGGCGGCAAAAGCTGCGGAGCCGATACCGGTGTCCTCAACTCGGACTGGCCTGCGTCTGTTTCAGTCCAGGTTCTCGTATTTCTACCTCCTCGCTCCAACTCGCGCCTTCATCGCTTTTATCTCCCTCTCGTCAAACATGGCCGTCCATTCCTCTCCTTTAAGAACAGCTTATGAACTCTGCACTACGCGCAAACACGTCCACCGCGCTCTCTCAATCCTCAGTGGCTTTCCTCTTGTCATCCTTGACTGCGAAGGAAGATCTTTGGGCCAATCAGATGGCACCCTATCTTTGTTGTGCCTCGGTACACCAGTCGCAGGCGACTTGCAGCACGTCTTCCTCTTCGACATGCAGGCTCTCGCACCATGCCCACGCAGCCGAGGTGCTATAGCAGCCTTTCTCGAGCGCGGCCCAATCAAAGTCTGTTGGGACGGTCGCATGGACGCGATCGAGATCTTCCACTCGTTTGGCATACCGTTGACTGGAGTGCTCGACCTCCAAGTCGTCGAGGTCGTCGCAAGACAGACTGTACTCGGCGAGAAGGATCGGGACCGGGAAGAACGCCTGGCGAAGCATAAGTTCGGCTATCGCTTCGTGCAGGAACATCGGTCACGCATGGGCGGCGTTCATGTCGTTCGCGGTTTGCAGAACTGTATCGAGTTCTATCATCCCGATCTTCACGTTGAGAAAGATCGTGAGTCTACACTCCATATGCGACGCTTGAACACTTACTGAATGGGACTACCCAGCGTCTGTGGTCGAGATGCACCAGAACGGCGAGACTCATCGATGGATGGAACGGCCCTTACCCGAAAACCTGTTGCACTATGCCGCAAACGACATCCGCCTCATCGCGCACGTCCTCTCAATCTTCGACACCCTCGGCTTCTTTCAGCGCGACTTCTGGTCATTGGTCGAGAAATCGAAGCGCTATATCGCAAGGACCGAGCGCGTGCGCGCTAACGAGCCTTTAAGGCCATCAGGTCTCCTCCTGCTCGAGGCGCTGTCAGACGAGCCCGCCCAGCATGATTGCGCCCGGTGTGGTGCGCTGCTACCGATCTCTTGCTTCGAGAACCTCTCTTGGAGAATCGAGGGGGCGCGCGGTGCCGGCGTCCGCAGGAGGCACTGTCAACTCTGCGTTACTATGTCTCTGCGAGATCATCTTACTCTTCCCGAGGAGGGTTCGGAGTGGCTAGAGACCTCGCAGGCTCCACGGTCCATGATCCCGCCATCCACGTCTACTTCTTTCTCGCGACCCAGGTATGCTACCCTTCTACAATACTTGTTCGTCGTCGATAACAATCTTCTTAGCTATCAGCAACTGTATAACCCGTACGGGAACAAAGGCCGCGTCCCCTGCGCCTTTCTTCCCCTCCTTCAACCACAACCTCTACGATCAGTCTTCGTATAGTCAATGAGGTTGCGTCCTCTCCTTGCCTGCAACGCTCAATTGCATTCAATCAATGTGAGCGCTGACTCGTTTTCTATCCCCTATGTACTCACTAACATGCTTGCAGCATGTATCGCCAATCCTTGTGAACCCGTCTCTGGAGATTGGGAATGTATCAGGTGTACTCGTCAATCATGTAGCTCTACTTGCTTATCTTTCGCGGACTATTGCTCTTCCATGGACTACTACTATCTCAATTTGGGTACCATAGGCTAGGATGTAGGATACGTACATCACATTTCATTTGATAGAATCTGTAGCACGGTCCCAGGGGTGTGGGAATCCGGGTGTGGTTCTGCGATGACACGTAGTCGGTGCGCGAGGGGTTGTCTTCAACTTCCACGCTACCCTTTTACGGATTGTCCATACCGATGACGGCTCCCACCCAACAGGAAACGTTGAACCCGACTACGGCAGCTGTGAACTATACACTATGCGCCGATGTACCCGGAGCCCTTTTTGCTCTCGAGGACCTTTCTCAACGTCCACTTGTCATGCTGGATTGCGAGGGCAAAACGATCGGAAGAGTGAACGGCGTTTTGTCACTACTCTGTCTAGGCACGCCGGATACTTCTGAAACTCAGAAGATATATGTATTTGATGTGCCTGCTCTCAAATACACGGCCGCACAGAGCGCTATAGCAGCATTCCTTGCCCGCAAGGACATAGTGAAGGTCGTATGGGACGGACGCATGGACTTCCTAGAGATGCGGGAAGTCTTCGGAGTAGATACAGCAGCAATCCTCGACCTTCAGATCGCAGAAGTGCTCGGGCGCGAACGAGTTCTGGACGAAACAGACGAGGGGCGGTTGGCAAGGCTCGCCGGCGTATTCGGAGACGTCGTTCACCGCGAAGAGTACTCCGAGCTATTCAGCGACATGCATGTTATCATGGGCATGAAACAGGCCATGCAGACCTACGCACCAGACATGCCAATGCAGAAAGATGGTCTGTCTCGTATCCGCTGTTCGCCACATGATGCTCATGATGATGTCAGTCGCCGTTGAAGAGATACATCGGAGCAATCAGAGCGCGCTGTGGCTCGTCCGACCGGTGCCATCGGCGCTATTGCTATACGCAGTAGTAGACATCCGACTCATCGCGTCTCTACTCTCCCGAATGACCTCTTTGCGATTCCTATCGGATGATGTTAGGTCCGAAAACATCCTGTTCGCTGCTTCTGCTCGTTATGTCGCTCGAACTGGTCTCACTGAACGGATGCCGTGGGTACGGAGGACAGACCCTCACCAGCAACATAACTTGCTGCTTTGCGACGCACTGTTTACAACGCCTACGACGCGCAGTGAACCATGTGCGCAATGCAAGTGGAACTTGCCTTTAACATGTTACGAGCGACATGGCCCTATGCGGAAGGAGCATTGCAAGATATGCGTCGCTGGAGATCTGAAGACCTTCGCGGATCGCACCAAGCTCAATTCAGCCTGGATACGAGTAGCCGAGGACGACGCGAGATTCAAAAACCTGGCGTGAATGAAGTCTGAAACGAGAAGAGGGATCACTGGGTGCCGAATCCCGAAGACTTGCGACGTAGCGTTGACGAAACAAGGTACGACGCGGTGCGAAGTATCTGTATCTGTGATCGGTTTCATGTGATAGTCGTCATGAATTGCACTACTAGGATGAATGTATACGTCTATATGTCTACAACAAGATTATGGAATGATATCATACGTCCAAAGTCCGTTTAGCGCGAGAGGCGCCGGGTATACTCAGCAGACCGAAGCTCAATGACACCGGGGGCGTATTTTGACCCACATCTTCCCCTTGTGGAAGATGTAGTTGTCCTTCAGACTCTCTTCCCACCGGTCGCCCTCGATGCCCTGTGCCGCGAACTCGACGTCGAATCGTTGAAATAGCCATGTGATGACGACCCGCAACTCGAGCATGGCGAGATGCTTCCCAGCGCAATTTGCTGCTCCATGCGAGAACGGGAAGAAGGCGGCAGGATTATGCGGACTCAGAGCCGGAGATCCTGCGCTTGAAACGGGGTCACGAAGCCATCGCGTAGGCAAGAATGCATCGGGGCTGGCAAAGTTGCGCGGATCGCGATGTATGCTCCAGGTATGAACTTGCACTTGTGTTTGTTCTGGAATGACGCTAAAGGGATAAAGTCAGAAGAGATTATCACAAGATCTCGAGAGCGGCATACCTAGAGCCGATGATCCTTGACCCAGATCCGCGAGGTACTGTTCGCTGGGATCCACTTGGTACCGGTGGCAGTAGGCGCATTGCCTCGTTTCTGTTCAGACGTCAATGGACTGTTCAATAAGCTTCGTACAACAGCACAACGTACATGCAGGCATTCAACCAGGGCATCCGACTCAAGCGCATAGAGTCCGTGGGCTCTTCATCGGGAAGGAAGTTCTCCGCAATCTCTGCCTGGAGACGCTGGCGCGCTTCCGGATGGCGCAACAAGAAGTAAACGACCGAAGTCAAGACGGTTGAGGTTGTGTCCGAGCCCGCAATAATAGCAAGGAGACCATCTGCGATCATCGTCGGTAGGCTGGGGGGTACCTTCATGGAATGCTCCTCATCGCTCTGCAATGCTGTCAGCAAGATTGGGGTGAAGTCTATACAGAATGACGTACCAGGTGATAAAACAGATCCTTGCGCCGAGCGCCCGACTTCAAGCGCTGAAGGGTCTGGTTCTTGCCGAATGCCCGCATCTTCATAATTTGTGAAGGGTTGGTCAAGCCAGGGATACGTTGGATGAAGGGAATAGACCAAGAAGCATGGGCGTAGGGTGTCACAGCCCTGGGAGAATTGAGTTTGAATAGTGACGATGACAACGTTGAGCGCTTACTGTAGGCCATTCTCAAACGAGTCCCATACGCCCTGAGTATCGCCACCCTCCTTCATGAGCTCGAAACCACCACCAAAGCTACAATAGCGTCAGAGCCTTGCGCAACGTTCGGGAATGTAGGAAGACTCACGCCATATCACCCATGAAGTCAGTGGCGAAATAAGAAAGCCAAGCGCTGAGGTTGACTTCGCCGCTCTTCTCGCCACTCGCCACGATAGCATCGCCAAGACGTTCCATGAGCTGACGGGCACGTTTCTCGATGAACGGCACGTATTCCTTCGTAGCGGAAGCGGTCAAACCGCGCGCCCACGTCCGGCGGCGATGCGCATGAACTTCAACGTCACGCTCTCCGACGAGAACAACAGGGTTGGATCGGTTGTCCCAAACTTGGACCGGCAATCAGCACGTCTAACTCTGTATGTGACATTAGTACAGCGCCACTCACAGGGACCTTTCGGGAGACCTCCAGCGTCGAGCACAGCCGGGATCGCAGTTGCGTCACGAATGGACAGCTCATTCGGACCTGACGAGCAAAGAACATCAGCATGTTGATTCGCGAGACATATTGGTGAGTCGACGTACCAACGCGAACAATGTCGCCGTACTGGTTGTGCAGCTGCTGATACCAGAGATGTAGATGGCCAGTCTTGCAGACATACGTCGAGTACCATTTGCTGATCCGTGGGAGTATCGGGCCTGGGTATTGCGCGAGGGGATGGAACGGAGAGAGGCGGTAGATGACAGTGTAGGCGATGATCAGGGTATAGTGGACACTGTATGCGAGTGCCACAGCCGACATGTAAGAGAAGAACCGCAGGCGCAAGACTGCGGTCAATAGTGATGGGATCAGAAACAACAACGCCCCGAGGCTGAACGGGCTTTCATGGCCAGGTTCAAAACGCTTAAAGCAAAGATATGTGACCTTGATTGCCGACAGTCATGAGCAAACCCGTCGACGTCACCAGCGAACATAGAAGTACGGACCAGGGTGGCTCCAAAGAATAACGCGGCAACTGCGGCAGGGGATGCGTCGGTGATATGTTGTGCGGCGGTGGTGGAGTAGGAGAGGGTGGATGCACGAGCTTGCACGAGGAGTAGAGAGATGGCGGTCATGACTGCCGAAGGTGCAATAGATGCTGAGGAGAAGGGGTGGTCTGTGAGATGGCTTTTATATCGTCTCCCCGTTTCGCATTCCCATAATCCGCGGGCGTCTCTACAAGTCTGAGCGACCGCATAGCATTGACGTGAGACGCGCAGAGTTGCAGTCCATGCGGGAAATATGCGTTGTCGACCAGTGAAAGCGACCGCCTGCGACTCCGCGTCCGCTCCGGGAGAACGTTCTGACCAGTATTGCCGGCTGCGTTGATGTTGCAATCGCACACAGGCTAATTACACGTCGATCCGCCATGAGAGTTTGCGCCGAGCTACGGTTCGCAGGCTGAGCCGACCACAATCGCGGGGTGCGGCGGCGGCGGAAGACAAGCTCGGTCGTACCTCGTCTTGCTCCGTGGGCAATCTTTGGGGATGTTGGTCCGTTCGGGCGCTAGATCGCTGTTGGGATCTGGAAGGCCGCGCGGGAAGATCGGCAAGTTGCCTGAAGATGAGATCTAGATCACCGGGGCAATTGACCGGACAGAGCTTGTTCGAACATGGGTGACGCGCAATATCCCCGGTTTGGAGTACTGTAACGAGGGTCATGCAAGATACTATAGTACGTTGTAGGGAGGAACTCACGCGATGTGGTCAATCTTCCGTTGCCCGGAAGCATCATGAAGATGGAGCAACGGTGTTCGGGGTACTGAGCATGCGTTCGCATATCAAGGCCTCGAGAGCATATCTTACGCTATAACTCCAGAGCATACTCTCGCAGCACTGAGATCACTGGGTTTTGATGGATGTTTGGGGCCGCGCATACTTCGACTCTCATCGCCTAAAATCGTGCGAGCGCCGGCTTTGATGAGGAGTAGCAGCTGGTAGAGGTATAGGAACCTCTCATATGGTCATTGAAAGTGCCTGGTATTAGTTGTGCGTGAGGTGCTTTTGGTGTACTCCGAGGTCCAATTATAAGTTGAGCTACGACTGGTCGCAGTTGACACCTGGGCATGCTGAGCATGATTGCAGGTGTATTGTGAGGGGCACAATGTGCAAGCATGGGCTGCGGCACAGATCTAGACAGGTCGTCTCTAACAAGATCAAGGGCGCGCTCACAGGTGGCGTACCTTCGAGCCCAGCCTCTCCTACATCAGGCTTTAGCCATATTCAGAACATTGCATCTCTACATTGAAACATCAGTCACCATACAGTATAGAGTATGTGGACCTGTACCAATGACCAGATCGGTTCCTTGAAGTTGCCAAGTGTCAGGTAGCCGTATTCACGGCCGCGGTACAACGGTCTGACCCGAGATGGCGCCACATCGCTCGTATCCCGATCTTAATCGCACTCATACACGTCGGAGCCATATTTGTGTATTCATATCAGGAAGTCACATGCGTCAATTTCATTCAGACGCGGACAGCAGACGATGCTGGGAGGAGAGAAGGAGCAAGCCGAGGCAAAACGAACGCGTGGCGTCCGAACGCGCGACCACGTGGATTACGCCGAAGGCTCGGCATATACGACGCTCAACGATGATGGGCATCGCACAGCGGCGACAATAGTGAACGACCCTGAGGGTAACATACAAAGTGAAACGTATCGTAGTAGGAAGAACAGCTATTCATAGTCACAACAAGTCATGTCCTAGTGCGTATCAAGTGCCAGTGGATCTATTATATTCCGTTACATAGCGTCCTCAGATGGCGCATCTCGAGAAGATCCTGTATGAGTTCGCATCCAACGTGACCACAGTGAGCCGCGCCTGGGACGTCCCTGGGTTGCTGGAGTACGGGGCGACGGCAAGCGACGGCTTGAGCCGAAGGGATCGATGATGACGGGAGAACTTGGACGCGGGACGTTGACCTCGTTGTAAGCCTCCGCCAAGTCTTCAGCTGTGAAGGTAGTAGGGACAGCCACTAGATGGCCGAATGTACTGCCTGGTACGCGCGTCGCTCGGATGACCTTCCATCCGGAGCTCAGACACAAGGCGACAAGCTCCGGTAATGTGCGTTCCTGTCCGTTGAAGATGGTCTGCATCTAGCCTTGATGTTAGCCATAGACAGTCACTCCTCCAGTAAGAAAACATACCGTCATGTCCATCCAATAGGCGTTGGCACTCGCTGTACCGAGGTTCGCAAGCAGTGGCCATGTGGCCCCTGTGAGTCGTAACGCCTCTTCTGCCCCCTCAACTGCATCTAAGCCATCCAGAGCGGACTTCGTTTCAGGGTTCTCTCCTTCGCGTTCGCTCGTGTTCGCATATGGTAGAATGTGCTCGCCTATGACGAGATAGGTAGGCAATTCTTGATCTGAGCCGAGCGATGCAGAAGCACGCAGGCGACGTAGGATACGCGCCGCTTCCAGATCTGGCCAATCGTGTAAGACGACGCGAACAAGAAACGCTCCTATACGACCGGTGGAGGCCGGTTGCGCAGTAAAGAAGTCATGTGCTGGCATCCTTCTCAGTCCATGGCAGATTCACAAGAAGTAATGGAGGGCGGACCTTGGAATCGGACGCGCGATGTATCCAAAGCCTCCGGCATCTTCGTGCGCCAGGCCTGCGCATTGCGTCAACACCTGGATCTGACCGGATCTAGCCACTGTGCATACCTGCTCACCATGCCTACAGACAGGCGCACGATCTTGTATGATTAGTCGTAAGGAAGGGAAGCGCTGAGCAAGACGCATGCTCGCGCTGCCGATACCGCCTCCCACGTCCACGACCAAGGCGCCGGCGGGCAGCGACGGAAACGGTGGTCCTGTATGAATGTCAGCTCATGTATACGGTCCCTTCAACTAGAAGAGACTCGCCACAGAGCGCGTCCATGGCAGCACCTTCCCAACCAGCACTACCGCCCATGGCCCGTCCGAATCTTGCGAGTCTATGCTTGTTCTCCGGCAGTTCAAGCCAGCCCCAGTAAGGCGTCCTTGTCCGCAAAGCAAGATTGAACGTCGTAGCATACGCAGATTGTGCATTGGCGCCGATCAAGGCACCGGGCTCGAGCGGAGGCGCGAGATCGAGAGCGAAAGAGGCGATGGACGGCTTGCGAGAGCTGGTGGGGCTTTGCGGTATACTGATAACCTGAGATGATGACGATGGAGATCGCGATCTCGGTACGTCTAGAACGGAGCGCGATAGCAGCCGTCGGATGCCACGTCGGGGAGTAGCAGGAGACTTGGGGGTAAGATCGACGGCCGAAAACAGGTTCGTTGGTGGGTCGACTTCATCCCAATCGCGCCGGCGAACACCAGGCGTGATGTTAGCAGGCGGAAGTAGAGATGTGAACGAGCCTGTATGGCGTATTGGTAGCGCAGGTAGCGGCTCCTCGGTCTTGACACGATGAGGTAGTAGAAAGTCCGTCATATATGCTGAGGTCTTGAATAGTTCGTCTGCGCTGTAGACGTGGTTTGGGATTAGCTCGAGTTGAGGGTAGGCTGGGTAAAACTAACTTTAGCGCAAAGAAGGCGGCTGTTTGCCCTTGCCCGTCGTATTTCTCGCCCTCGCTGATGATGCGTGAGAACGAGACGACATGAAACGAAAGCAGAAACCCTACCGAGCAACCAAAGCTTCAAACGGCTTCCCGGAATCGAGCAGAGCGGACACCCGGTTCAAGGCAAAGACATCCGGTTTAACTTCGCGTAGTATGTGTTGCGTTGCAAGTAGACGAAGAATGTGGCCTATATAAGTCAGCAGGTGCCAATCTGCTTTCGGCCTATGACCTACTCGTCCGACTAGCATCGACATTGATCCTCTTGCCTATAAGTTCTGCATGCAACCCGCCCTCTCCGGCATCACGTAGAAGTTCCGGGATGTGAGCAGCCTCAAAGAAGCCCAAACAAGATGGTAGGTGGTAACCGAGACCCGCATCGCAAAGCGTTAGAAATGGTACACGTAGCACAGTGGCAAGTTGGTTGGCGGCAGATACGACCCTGGTAGCGGCAGAAAGCACGGCCGGATGAGACGAGAGCTTCTCAGCAGATGAAGTCGGGTCACCGGGAGAGTCAAGCGAAGGATAGTCTAAGCAGGTGGTAGTGCGACGAGGCCTTGTAGACCGAGCATGTGGTGGAGACGGAGGCGGCGTTTCAGGGCTGGCGTATTCTGCTCCAAATTTGACAGCATCTCCTGCAGCTTCCTCAGACGCCTCTGCGTACGCGCGCTCGATTGCATCAATGCCATCGGCGATGATGGCTTGCAGGGCGCGTAGCGTTGCGAATGTCATGGTGGTTATCGCTCAAGTTGCGGGACTGCAGGCGAGAATCTTATACACGGTCCCGTATCGTCGACAGCAGGCGCGAGCAAAGTGCGCGTGGATCGGACAGCGTCTAGCCATCGGATACAGGGCCGTCGGTAGCGTAAGAGTGTCGAGTGCCAAACACGCCGTCTAGCGTCGAAAGCCGTCAGGTGGTGAAGTGATACGGTCAGACTTCAGACATACATCATGCATCGCGATAACGGTTGATGCCTCCTTGTAGTCACCGATTGCGGACTTGGATGTTCGGCAGGCGCAAGAGTCTGCACGACCTATTGTGAACGAAGTTGAACATCACAACGGCACAGGGCGCACCCTGAAGACTCACCGAAGATGTACTGTAATAACCGATTGATGCCCCACCTCGCGTGGACAGCTGCCAATGTCGCAGATCTCTCGGACGCGAGCGATTTGGTTTTGAGTTGGAATGGAAGTGCCTTCTTCCAAAAAGGCGCTGATGTGTTCCTGTCCCTCTCCCGATTGAGCAGTTGCGCGTATCGTATCTCTCCAATACAGTCATAGCATGGTGAGGTGACTATCCAGTTGAACCAATGATCTCGGTATGTCCATGACGGATGCCGATGGTGGTCAGAGGCAACGCTCGCGAATCGCCGCCTGACAGCTGGAGAAGCGTCACAGGGTGACCGGACGCGTCCGTCACGTCCACTGGTTAGCCTTGTTCTCTTCGTTCTTGGACACCACCATGTTGCCCCCTTATTCATGTCAGAGTATACGGAATCAACGGGCTGACTGCGACGCACAGAGCCTGCTAAGCTTCTGCTCTCATAACCCTAAAATCACGTTCTCGTCTCTCACCGTCGAGTAAGGTCGACATCGCGAGAACGGGCCCATCATCTTGAGACCTGAGCAGCGACGTCGTAACGTAACACTTGGCGCATTTGCGTGCTAGATAACAAATTCATCTGGCAAAGCTCGTTCTGTGTACTGGACTAAACTGTTTAGCTTGCTTGGGTACAGGGAAACTTATGCGGCCGCAGATCAAGGGGCCCGACGACAACACGACAGTCCCGGCGATCATCTACTACGCGTGTCCTTCGTATAGACTTTGGGTCCTATGTGCCTCATCGACGCTTCAGGACTAATCCTTTTCCTAACGTACAGCTCTGGCGGCCGCCAGGGACAGCGAAAGCCCATCATCTCCTTGCCTTCTCACGCAAGACCGCTCGGGAGGGCGCGAGTCCCATCGTGGGTTTGTGATGCGCTTTGCTGGCCGCGAAACCCGGCCCTCGCCTCTTCCCTCGCGCCGACCTCAACTACAGTACAATGCGTGATGCGTGATGAAGAGTAGCGGAGTACCCGCGACGATCGCGGGTCCTTAACTACGCGAGAACGGCGTAGAGAGCGGCCGCATGGGTGGCATGTGCATCCAAACACCAGGGCAGACCAATGCGTATGAAGGCTGGTCCTGTGAACATGTACAGAGATCTGACTAGTCTTGTGGTAGAATCGCTCTGCATATGGCCGTCTTGTCTCCTTGTGGCTCCTCGACTTGTTGGAGGTCGTCCCGAAAGCAGGTTTCCCCTGGGTCCTAGCGCTTCCTGCGCATGCTGATCATCATTGCGCATTGTGTGAAGCAAGGACAAGCTCGTCGAGACCTGATATCCGTGTATGTAGTCGGCTGCGGTTGAAAGATCGACGGTGACATCTCTTCAATTGTACGGATCAGACTGTGAGAGTGTCATTTACTGGATGATCGGCAGCGCCCACGGTACTACGGTGGGCCTCGGTGTGCATAAGCTTTAGCTTACAACAACAAGTCGGGTAGCGTTTGCTGCCCGGACTATGCTGGATGATATCGGCACGGCCTGCCGGTGTCTTGAGAACTAATCCTGAAAGGTTCAGTTCCGGTCATTTTCCGCAATCCGCAGGGATGAATGCCGACATCTTACTTGCCGATCAGGTCAAGCATCTGAGAACTTGACGAGGGCTCCACCAAAGCCAACCGCAGTGCAAATCCCTCCCTGACTCTGCGAAGTAAAGCTAGATCCATATACGGATGTCTACAGGGTCGAGCAGGATATACAGAGTGCATTGTCTGACTTCGTGTCGGTTGAGACGTATCCTACGTTGGACATTGAAAGCCGCGTCTGTGCCTACTACATGTGCTCGATGCCAGGTATACTTCACACACGCGCTGTGATGCGGCCTTGCGGATGCACACCGGCAATCTTCAGTCCAAACGCGCTCGGTGTAGTTCTCACCGTCTTTAGGCGCTCTGCACTACAACGGTGAGTAGATGGAGACACCCATCGCATGCTCAGACTGATATCGGCGGAAGCCGCGAGCACACGATACTTTGCGCTGCCTAGACGTCTGATCCAGGACCGCCGACCACAGCGCTGAACACAGGTCTCCCACAACGTCGGACGGAAGAGAAGAGATCATGGTCCGTGGACTCTGGCTTCACCGTCCAAGCCCTTGGCTCGGACGTCTGCGGTCTCCGTCGCCGTGCGCACTGCGGTTACCTGTGCACGGCAGACTTGCCGAAGATACGTGGTACAATCATCGCGTCGCATCCCCTGTGCTGTTCGTGACAGAGAACATGATTTCTGACCACCCACCAAGGGAGACAACCAGGTATGACGCGCCCTGTACTGGTTCGAGGCGAAACTGGCGTCGACATTAGTACCGGCGCTCAGATCACGCGTGTACGACTTTGATGAAGCAGATCAAGATCTAACTCAGAACGCGGTCAAATGTGCAAATGTACACACGAGTCGCACTGCTGCCTGCAAGCGGTGACAATGGAACTCAGGTTCCGCGCTTATCAGTATCGCACCGACCACGTAGGCGCGCAGAAGCGTATCTATGATGCCCGGTCTCCAACTGCAATCTCTATACGAGTTGACACGGATCAGGTTCTCCTCACCGCCATAGAGCCAACCACCGCCACTTCGCCGACAGATTGCCTTCGGATCACTGATAGTCTGCGCTATGAATGGAGTTCATTTACAATGCAAAGCATCGAGCGCTACGAGGACACTCCAGGTTTTTGCGCGCGCTCCGATAATCTGATTGCAGGCGACTAAACTTCTACCAGTTGACAAGTTAGCCTGTATCCTTTCGCAGGACGGGTCTACGGTTGTAGCAATGTGCCTGATAGATTTGCATTCTGGTTGGAGCAAGTTCGAGGATCCGTGGCAATAAGCACAGCGTACTGGTCGACGGTTAATGAAAGGACTTACTTCTACCAGTATACTGGGGCCTACAAAGACGCGAAGTTGAGGGATTCCGTGTCGTCATCTTCATACATTTAGCCGTCGTAGACGGTAACCGGTGACCAGCCGTGGCAGTATTTGTGCTACTGCAGATGACCGGCGGTCGACGGGCACGATTCGGCGACCTGGCACGACTTCAATTTCGATGTTGATGGCCGGAAGTAAGCTCCGGCAATTGACGCTACGGTACGAGCGATAGGGTCACGGTTACACCCTGTAAAACTCGCCGTCCCGGCTGGCTGCTCTATGGGGGCATACCAGAGGCTACCAGTTCTTGCCAGATCTTCCGAACAATGCGCGAGCCTACTGTCAATCAGTTCGACTCATGGTTTCGGACTTGCAGGTGCTCGACCCCGATTATCTGTCGCACTTCAGTACGTAGGGAATATAGAGTGTTGCAGGTGTCGGGTGCTGGAATTGGTACCGCACTGCGCTGCATGCATCCCTGAATGTGTGACAGATGGCGATAATGAGCGTGGGTGTCAACCCGCGATGCATGTTCCAGCGCGCGCCCGTGCAGGGCAGGTCTTCGACAAGCTGAGAGGACAGCCTACTCTTCCAGTACTGTACAGATACAAATCAGTAGCCTAAGCCCGTGCTCTACAGCTGAGATGACATACCTCCCAGCCGGGTGAAGGCGTATTGCACGTGTCCTGTCGGTTGGGAGTCGCCGGCGCAGTATCCGGCGATCATCCGGTGATCAATCCGGCATCTAAACGTTGTTCGAACGCGTTTCTCTTACTGGTTGCCCACAGCTGTACGAAGCTCCAGAAGCATCTGTAGACCAGGGTCGCTGCTGCTATCGCAGCTGCGACGGAAGATGTCATACGCTGCAACGGCTTTTCAGCAGGGACGCGAGTAACGTTGTCGGTCGACCCGACAATCGCGCGGCGGTACTTAAAGCAGCGCCGCCGATCAACCTTGCGAAGGCAAACCATTCCCCCATCTGTACAGCGCGTCAACTTCAGCAGCGGCGAAAGGATGTGGGCAAAACTTGCGCTTCTGTTCGTCACTGCAGCTTCGGTACACGTCTCACTGTCGCCGCCACAACCAGCTGCCCCGCCAAAGTCGCTGGCAGGTCCCCGCACCTTCTTCGAGCGAATTGTGCGATATATCACACTCATCACCAAAGTGAGCAGCATATTCTCTTGACTTGAGTTAAGATTAACCGTTGCGCTAGTCCGCAACTTGGACGTTTGTGGTCATCGACGCGCTCGCAACGTTGGCACAGCATGTCCAACCAGAAGTCGCGCCGCCGATGTGCCCACGCTCTCCGGCATCTCCGACAGCGCTGACATATGTATCACCGATGCTGATCGCCGGCGCATTGAGTGCTTTCGCAGGAGGAGCATTGCGCGCATGGTGCTATCGGACGTTGGGACGCCTGTTTACTTTCGAGATCAGCATCATGGATAAGCATGCGCTGGTAACAAACGGACCGTATGCGTATGTGCGCCACCCGAGGTACGTGGGATGCCTTATAGCGGCTGAGATCGCGATTCTCAGCCAAGTACAGCTACTCCGGCATCTACCTCACTCTGGGCGGGGTCACAGCAGTCTTGGCAGCGCAAGGCAGCTGGGCGCAAGCGTGTGGCGTTTTGCGAACACCTACGACACTGAGAGATCTCTTCGCTTGGGCGTTCGCCGCGGCATGGTGCGCTAAGTGTGGGTACGCCATGTACAGCACCCTGAGGCGGGGACCTGTCGAGGACGAGCAGCTACGAAAACAGTTTGGGTCGGTCTGGGAGGCAAGTCGTCGCATCTCTTGGTTGCAAACGTGAAAGTTGACATCCTTCCAGGACTATGCCAAGGCGACGCCATACCGCATGATCCCATTTATTCTCTAGACCACTTGTACATCCATAGACTAGGATTTATGACGCATTTATATTGTACAGGATAATGAATAGACTGTTGAGCAGAGACATGATACTAGTGGTGGTGACGGTGGTGGTATGAAGGCAAGCTGCGCACTCGGGTGGCGTCGGCGCCGACTCGTCCGACGCGGCGTTTTCGCGCATCACCGTGCTGAACGCGCGCTTGTCTCCAACTCTCACCAGTCCTTGCGCGTAGCGCTGGTCGGCGCCAATGTCACAGTGGAAGTACCTTGCCTTAATTGGCCCTAGTCTCCCAGCACACAGCTGTTGAGCCTCTCCTCTACATACGCCAGGTTGAAAGCCTCTCGTTCGCATTCGTGATGTCAGGCCTACAGCAGTTCCGGCTGAATCCTGCTCGCTGTTCCGTTTTGATGGTACTCTTCCGCATCACTTTCTGTAACAAGCTTCGTTCAATAGGAGGCGCCCGATAAGAAAATAGTGTGCGCCGCTAGGATCAGGGTGGTCCTACAGAAGCCTGTCTAGAGATAAGGACATCCTGCTTCTCCACATTTACGGCACGCCCTATAAAAGCTAGTGTCCTCGGCCAAGAGACGGTTTTGCCTTCCTATCTCGTCGCTCACAGATAGGTTGTCTACGGCTGCAGAGACGCGTGCGCAATGTCGAGCTCTCCAGCGCAAGTCCTGCCTCAGGGAGCCGGGTACGGCGTCGTAGTCGGTTCGTCCAACTCATCAACTTCTTGGATGATTCATGACTGATTGGCATCGAATAGGCATCGGACTGTTCTTCAGCGCTTTCATGCTCGTTCTCACGTACATGCAATCTCGCTATACGACCTTTTCACCCTCGAATTCAGAAGAGTTTTCGTCCGCCTCGCGAGCCGTTAAACCTGGATTGATCGCCTCCGGAATTGTCAGCGCTTGGACTTGGGCGGCTACTCTACTGCAATCTAGTGCTGTTGCATACAAGTATGGCATCAGTGGACCCTGGTGGTACGGGGCTGGAGCAACTGTACAGGTTCTACTATTCGCAATGGTGCGTCTGTGCGTCTTCAGTCATAACTCCCCATAGCTAACTGTAGCGAGTAGCTGGCGGCTAAATTGAAACTGAACGCGCCTTATGCCCACACATGGCTGGAGATCGTGGGCGCTAGATGGGGTACCCTTGCACATAGCGTCTTCATGTTCTTCGGGTACGTCGCGTGAAGTATTATGGATGGTCATCGCCTCATACATCCTCAGATTAGCGACCAATATCATCGTCTCCTCCATGCTCATCTTGGGCGGGTCCGCCACCGTGACCGACCTGACGGGCATGAACACCATCGCGGCTTGCTTCCTCATCCCTCTTGGAGTCGCTATCTACGTCGTTGTCGGCGGCATGCGCGCTACATTGCTATGCGACTAGTGAGTTGACCTCGTTCTCATCGCCACGGAACACTCACTCAATACACATGCAGCACCCACACGACCATTCTATTTGCCATCATCTTCACCTTCGTATTCACTGTATACGCTGCATCGCCGAAAATCGGGTCTCCTACGGCCATGCACGACCTACTCGTCAAGGCAGCCCAGACAAGTCCGGTTGATGGCAACGCAGGTGGCTCATACCTCACGATGCACTCGGTCCCGGGGCTCGTATTTGGCGTCATCAATGTCATCGGCAACTTCGCAACCGTATTCCTGGATCAGGCGTACTGGCAGCGCGCTATTGCAAGTCGTCCAGCCAGCTGTGTGAAAGCTTACCTCCTCGGTGGTCTCGCATGGTTCGTGCTCCGCTTATGGCAATCATAAGTGATGTTGACCGTGTACGCAGGTTCGCCATTCCCTTCACCTTCGCCACTACATTGGGCCTTGCTGCTCGCGCGCTCCAAGGCGATGCCGATATGGCCGTACTGTCCGCTGCAGACGTATCAGCTGGCTTACCTGCACCCTCGGCTGCTGCCGCTCTCCTAGGCAAATCTGGGGCCGCCGTCATGCTTGTGCTCTTATTCCTGGCAGTGACTAGCGCTACAAGTGCCGAGATGATTGCCGTGAGCAGCATCCTCACATACGATGTCTACAAGGTGCGCCCCACCCTCATTGGTGCTGTGACATTCGACAACTTACCACAATGACAGCGTTACATCAACCCTCACGCTACTGAGGCTCAGACGCTTCGGATGTCGCACTACATGGTGCGTGAAATCCTTCCGTAACACCGCAGAGACTACTCACACTCACCCAATTGTCGTGCAGGTCGCATTTTATGGACTCGTAATGGGCTTAGCCGGTCTCATCTTCTTCTACATTGGCGTATCGATGGGCTGGCTCTATACGTTTATGGGGCTCTTCCTGGGAGGCGGCGTGGTGCCGATCGCTCTTTGCATCGTCTGGTCACGCGCAAACAAATGGGGATGCATCATTGGGGCGATCTCTGGCTTCTTCTCCGGAATCATCGCATGGCTTGTCACAACGAGCACTCTGAATGGCGGGGTCATCAACGTCACCACAACCGGTGGCGACTACGAGATGCTAGCTGGCAACCTTGCGAGTATTGGCGTCGGTGGTATCGTAGCGGGAGTGATCTCTCTCATCGTACGTCGAAGTCACTTTCTTCATATGTCAGACTTCGCTGACTTGTAGCTTAAGTGGCCGGAGAACTACGACTTCGCTTCCACACGCGCACTGAACGCGCCCAGAGGACCCAAGGCTGCCGATAGCGCTCCCAATCCCCCAAGTCCGACCATGGATGAGAAGAAACGCGACAGTGCGGAAGTCACCGAGGTGGCTGGTGATGACGAGCCCGTCGTGCAACCAGACCCAGATCTCGAACCTTTGGGGCTGAAGAAGGCATACCGGTTCGCTCTTTGGAGTTCTGTGGCTTTGGTGCGTTTCATCTGCCGGCAAGCCAGCGTCGTATATGCTAACATCCATGTAGACGGTCGTCTTGCTCATCCTGATACCTTTCACCTTATTTGGCACAAGCACAATATACGGCGTCGGCGGCCTGACCGCTTGGGTCGTCATCGGCATCATCTGGTGCTTCATTTCCTCGTTCTGTGTCGTATTCTACCCACTCTGGGAGAGCCGGGTCGCCATAGCGGAGATTACTCGCGGGATAGTGAAGGTGAGTATATTCTTCCAACCGGAGGACAATGTCACTAACGGCTACGAATAGGATGTTGTCAGCCCGGGCAGTGGGCGCTATGTGCCACCTGTCACGGAGAAAGCTTGAATATAGCCCATCGAGGTAGACACGAAACAAGATAAGATTGTATACGATAGACTCATGCCCCACAATGCACCATCGGCCGCGGTCTGCGGTCATACCCATGGACTTCGAACCCTGTACGCGCGCCACGGCAATGGCCGCGTGCATGAGAATCTGCGCCCATGCCGAGACCCTCGTATGACTTGCCGCGTGCTTCTCTTCTCGTCTTCCCTGTCACTGTTGGGTTCGTGATGGGAGCGCCCGGACAATATAGTCGGGTTGTACGGCGTGCGCCTGGCGCGTCTTCTCATACAGAGGGTTGCGGGAGAAGGGAGGATGCACGTCTCTTGCCGGGCGGTGAAATTGGCTTTTGACTTGTGCACATGCAGCTACTGCCGCACCCTCTTTCGCAGCCCGGATAATCTGAATCGCCTGTCCGGGCGGTCAGAGGTTCAACGAGCTCACCGAAATACAACCCTTGACTGGGTCCCATTTTGGAGCCAACCTGCCGCGCAGCAAGAGCGGCGATTACGAAGGAGCGCTTTGGGACACCTCTGGGCGCTCTCGCGCAGTTGATCTTGGTCTTTCCGAAAACAAGTTCTCCGTGGAAGAGCACCAGGTTGGAGAGCGGAAAATGAAGTGTGTACAGTAGGTTCTGCTTCCCTTCCGGCGTTCATCCTCGCACATCTCCCGCCGAATGGCACTCACGGACGGCTGGGCGCTCGGAACTCGCCCTCCCTTATGAAGCCTGCTGTCAGCTTGCGCCGGATGAGCGCGCCTGCCTTTGCCCCACAGTCATGCCAGCTGTCTCTGTACCGGATTCCACTCTAGCCATTCCGACTGGCGATGCAGGCTCCCTTGCGGCGATGGCTTGGGACAACACATTGGGCGCCTTGCTCATTGGTGTGATGGCTAGCGGCATGCTCTTTGGACTGACGTGCATGCAAGTATACACCTACTTCGAGCGGGCAAGCGAGAACGACGGGAGGAGGTTGAAACTTCTCGTGGCCTGCTTGTGGTACGTGTCTGTTGCGGTGCCCTTAGGCTCGTGTATCTTCATCTCCGTTGACCACGTTCTCCGCAGGTTGCTTGACGCGCTCGACTTTGCGTTTAACTGTCACACGATCTACTTTTTCCTGGTTACGAACTACACGAACCCGCTCGCCCTGTCAGGGAAGATCCCATGGAGTCTCGCGTTGCATGTTCTCATCACGGTGCGGCCGTTCCTCGGAATGTGGGTAGATCGCTGATAGATCCTCGTCGTAGTCCATCGTAGACTTCCTAGTTCGTGCCATGTTTGCGCGCAAGATCTTCTCCTGTGAGAGGAAAGGCAAATAAGCAGCTGTCAAGAAGTAACTGATGCATGTGGTACAGTGAGCAGGAAGTCCTTGCGGTTCGCTTTCACGGGCATATTGGTGAGTAAACACCCACGTCATCATGGGTCGTCCACGACTTAAGTCATGTCCAGCTTGCCTGCTCCAGTCTTGACCTGGTGATTGGGATAAGTAAGTCCTCCTCTTGTCCCGCTCTGCTTCTCGCGGCGGCGAACTCACGTTTTGCAGTCATCACTGTCAAGGCCTTTGCCCTCCCTTCAATCTTGGATCTGCAACCTCTACAAACACTCTTTTACGTCAATTTTGCCGCCGGGACTGGCAGCGATGTGTACATCGCCGTCGTGCTTTGCTACTTCCTCGCACGCGCCCGGTCCGGGTTTAACACGCGCACAGACACCATCATTGGTGTACTGATCAAGTGGACCATTCAGACAGGGCTTCTTACCGCGTGAGCTCTCGTCCGGTTGTAAGTGTACTCCTAGTGCTAACATCATCTTTCAGCATCGATGCTGCTGCAGGGCTCGTCATGGTGGGTGTTATTCGCTTTCAGTGGTAACCGCGAGAACTGACCGGCACCCTGCAGGCGATAGTGATGCCGAACAACCTGATCTTTGTCGCTCCGTATCTCATTCTCAGCAAGCGTGCGTCCATCGAGGCTGTCGTAGTGATGGCCGACTGCTCACTGCCTTACGCAGTGTATACCAACGCATACCTCGCTGTTCTCAACAGTCGCGAGAGTCTACGTGAGCGTACCATGAGTGAAGACGGCTTTGTCTCTGTACGCCTCTCACGACTGGGGTCTCCACCAGTGCAATCTGCGGACACGCAGCAATCCTCAAAGGTGAGGCGTTTACGTCTGGCATGTCTCAATGGAATCTCAATGCACTTCTACAGGGGCCGTTCGGTGAAGCGTTGCGGATTCGCTTCGATCAACAGACCATCACTCGCTCAACGGGCAACAGGGATGCCGAGGAAGCCGTGTCTCCTACGTCGCCTACCTCTTACGCAGAGAAGTGAAGACTCTCAACTCATCTCACCGCAGCTGGCACTATCATTCATCCAGGACTTAGTATCAAGAACGCATACGATATACCCTCTTTAGGTTCCTGACAATCTTTGTGTATCACATAGCTAGTTCTGGTCTGGTCTGAAGTATGTAGGGCAATGATTCATGTAGACGAAGCAAGAATCCCTTCGCAGTATTTGATGGCTGAGGGTGCCGGTCTTGAAGGGGTCAACGGGCCAACGCGGAGCTGCGGCGCACCACCGCTCGCCGAAGTGTGCGATACGACAACATCGGTGTCGTCTATTGGGAGACTTCGCTTGATGACAAAGGCGTGTAGCCGTGGTAAGAGCATGCTACTAGCATTCGCAGCGCGCGTCAGGATACATTGCCCCAATTCCTTCCATCATGATCAGCGCTCAGACACCCTGACGACCTGCTGGCTCTCACCTTATGCAAAGCCACTATCTCAGGCTATGAGGCTATCTAGATAACTGAGTACTGCTGGTTGCCACTCTGGCTTGATCAAGGGCCGTATGCGAAAAGGCGACGCCCCACAGCTGGCTCGAGCCTCAGCCAAAGCGCGGATCGTCTTCGCATCTCTGAGCCTCCATGGTACTTTCCCGTGAAGACGTAAAGTACCCAGACTTGGCAATAATAAGTTCCCATGAAGTGCACAGTGAGTCATAGCCACAATGAGGCTGCCCTCGTGGGATATACTCGGCTCGTCGTTGACAAGGATCAGTTCGTGGACCGATGTGAAGGGAGCGAGAATGGGGGACCAGTCTATGCCTTCGGTTGGAAAGTACAAGCCGAAGTGTAGGATCTCGACGGTTGAGACTAGAGTCTCGTGTTGCAATGCATGGGCATTCACGATGCTCTGAAAGACCGATGCTGCCGGTACGGCGTCCAGGGATAGATCGTAGAGCCCGAGCTCCGAGCTCGTGCGGAGAGCAGACGCTTCGTAATGGGAATCGCTAAGCGCAGCATACGGCATAAAGAGGCGCATATGATGCGTATCCAATCGAAGAGGGCTGTCCGCTGAATAAGTGCCATGGTTGTAATAGCGGGGGTCGTCCGGTATGTCCCCCAACCGCGACAGGAAGGTGTAGTGATGATCTCGACCCTTTCGCCCCCACATTTTGAGAAAATAAGTGCTTGATGCCGGGACTGGGTGCTCATCGCCGATCCGGAGCCTAGATGTTAAGCGCACTAGACTAGGTTCCGGTCCTGCAGAAGAGAGGAAGGCAGATAAGGCGCATTCACATTGGATGCTCTTGAGACGAGGGCATTTCAAGATGCATAGCAGGGCAGAAGCGAAGGTCGCGACGCCCGTGGACGAACCATTGAGTCTGAGCTCCAGCAGTTTGGGCATCGTCAGCGAGGAAGAAGTAGGGATGTCACAGTTCCATTCATGGAACCACAATGACTCGAGGTCCGTAGCATCAGACAATATATCCAGCAACAATGATGCCTCGGGCACCCATCCCTGCTCCCTCTTGTGGAAGAGACGGAGGGATATCAGATAACGGCTTGAAAATGGTATGAAAAGATGGCTGAGAGTGACGTGGCGAAGTCGGGCCGAGGATGATTTGAAGTGGCCAATGCGAGATTCTCGGGGAATGAACTCCTCGCTATCTCGGGTCATGGCAACGTGAAGTGTGTGCATCGAAGGGGGTATACCCTCCGCCGCAATCATGGTCGACAATCTTCTTGCTTCATCCGGCCGCAGTATCAGGTTGCAGGACTGAGATGCAGGAAAGAACGCATAGAAGTGTTCGGGCATGTAAGATCCCGCCTCCGATGACCCGTCAGGCGCGCTGGTGAGTAGGGCACGCCGCATGTTGTTGAGGTAGAGAGGCGTCTCTCCGGCGCGAAGCTTGAGTGATTCAAACCCGCGAGAATTGGGCATATCTGCCGCACAAAGGGCCCAAAGGAATGGATCAGCCAGAGCATAGGTGCGCCATTGGTGGCAGACATGCGTGGCAGCCGGGATCCAGCCCAATCCTAGGGCTTTCGAGACCCCATAGTGAGATATGAGCTTCCCGCCTGGAGGATCTGCGTGAGCCATCAGGCGGAAAATGGTAGTGGTGATTTCAAGTGGCAACCGCGAGACAGGACGACGCGCGTTGTGCACACGCCTAGCTTCGATGGGCAGAGCGTCGCTCTCGCCGAGAACATCAGAAACGGCCGGTACGCCACAATCCAGTAGAGACATCGTAAGCTGAGTAGGTTGAGTGCGACTACTGAGTCGATGCCTGTCCGACGCGTTTGATCAGCCGTGGTGGCAGTTGAAAGGGTAGGAGAAGGGGTGGCGGACGCGGCCTCAATACGCGCCACGCAGCTCTTCGGCAAACTCCGACGACGTCAAGGGACCATCTCACTGTGTAACGGCGTGACGATGAGTTATGTCCCTTATACCACAGTATGTATATGCGGAAGAGTATCGGAAGATAAGCACAAGTAACCTATCGAACGCACACCAAGAGTCCGTGTCCCAAGAAATCCATCAAATAAGCAAATTAAGAACCCTTCATTGACTTCATGGTAGCAACCTCTCCTTGTAGCTCACCGCGCGGATCCAGATCTCGCCCGGTCGACTGTTCAAATCACCCATCAGCTCTGGTCAATCATCCGCGACAAGATAACATACCTGCGCTCGCGCAGAATGCGCCACACCTTAAACTCGCGCTCGCCTCTCCTCAATGTATGCCCCGGTGCAGCATTAGGCGGGAACCCTCCTCTACAACGCTGTTGCAGATCCGCGAGGCCCTCGTTCGTGCCTTCAGCCTCGATCACGACTGTGCCGTACCAGCCCTGGTCAATAGGCGCGCTGACGCGTCCGGGGAGGATGAGAGTTGGTGCGTGTGGTGGGTTCAGATGTCGGACGGAGAATGATGAGCGGTGGACCCATCGGACGACGGTATGGTAGTTGCCTTGCGGTCTGTAAAATAAGTAGCAATCAGCTTTCGTGTCTATTCGCTTCTAAGAGGGATCACGCACGTCTCTGTCCGGACCCTATCCTGCAACAACTGTAAATTCCCCGCAATCTCCTCCGCCCACGGACTGACATCGACATGCACAACCGGCCCCCTCTCCCCACTAGTCCGAACAACCCTATGCCAAAAGCTCGGCGCGAACGCCAGACTTGGTAAACTCCCCGGCACATCCCCCAGCGGCGTATACGTATAATCCAGATCGATAAGGTACCGACCGTCCCAGAGCATGCGGCCCGTATTGCCCTCGTCGCCGAGCGCGGTGTCCCATACGACGTCCCCGGAGCGCAAGAAGGGCGCGATACCGGCTTTGCGGAGTTCGCCCTCGGCTTCGAGGACGCCTTGGTCGTCTAGCCAGTCTCCGTTGGCTGGTACGAACACTCTCAACAGCGGTGCGCGGCGAGGGCGGTACAGTGCGTTCGTAGTGTTGACTACAGGCAGCTGGGGAGGCGTAGAGCCACCCTGCGACGGCCGTCGACCATGTCCGCTCGTCGAATGTCCGCCCCACGCACTATTCGTCGGACTAGGCGCCCGAGACTGACTGCGTCCTCCCGCAGCACGTCCACCGGCGCTCCACGACGGCGGAGGCCCATGACCCTGCTCGCTCCGCTCCCGCCGACCAGTCCGCTCCCGATCGGGCGGTACGAGCTCGGCCTGCGCCCTCAGGCGAAGCACAACGCGATTATACGCCCTCGTGCTCTTCTTCGCGGCCCTGACCGCATCAGCCGGCGCCTGTCCCCTCAACGCGTCCTGCGCCAGAAGCACATTCGCCTGTGGCGGGGCGGATACGCCGCGCATGTACGCCGCGAGCTCCTTAAGCGTGAGCGGTAGAGGGTCTTTGTTCTTGCTCTGCGCGATCGTGGCGCCGGGGCCGGAAGAAGGGAGCGGCCAGCGTGTGTATCCGACGGGCGCGAGCCACCGCTCGAGAATTAGTTCGCGGAGGTAGGGCGTTTCGTTTAGGTATTTCATGTTTTGGCGGGAGCAGGTCCAGAGGGAGAGCCAGTCTGCGAAGGTGAGGTACCTGTACACCTCATATCAGCGTTGCATTCTATGCGTTGTAGGGGAGGATGGTGCGTACCGCATGAGACCATCAAGCAAATCAGGCTCGCCGAGATGCTTGAGGATGGGATAGTACGTCTCTTCAAGACTATCCTCCACCACACTCTGTCGAACAGGCTCCAGCGCGCCAGCAGCAGCCCTCGTCCGAACCCTCGACGGCGACGTCGGCGAGCTCTGCACCGCCCCGTTCCCATTCTCTTGTGTGGCAGGGGGTGTAACAGGCCTCTCAACGAGCCTCGAAACCCTCTTCTCCGCGATCCCTCCGATCCTCGACTTGCGCCTATCCTCGCGCGTGACCGTCTTCTCCCTCCCAATCTCCTTCTCTTTCTCCTTCTCCCTCATAGCCTCCTTCTCATCAACGTACGACACAGGCCTCTTCTCCCCCTCCCTATCCCCCTCCAACCGCACCTTCTCCTCACTCAACAACGCCCTCGAAGCCCTAAACCCCTCACTCAACAGCGCCCTCGACGCCCTCCTCTCCTCGTCCATCCCGCCCACGGGCTCAAAGTCGCCCTCGGACTCAAAGCTCTCGTCGAACGCGCGGCTCTTCCTCTGCTCCTCGAACGCCCTGCTCTTCCGATGCGTCTGTCGCGGAGAGCCCGGAGTAGAGCTTGTGGGATATGTGGGGAGAACGCGTGGTTTCTCGGGTGAGCCGTAACGCATTGTGTCGGGCGATACGGCGCGCCTATCGCGGTGCTGGACGGGCGATGCGCGGCGCTGTTGAGGTGATGGCGGAGGTTGTGGTGAGCGCGAAGGTGGGAGCGGTGAGGGGGGCGCGGGCGAATGCGATAGAGGCGAATGCGAAGGTGCGAATGCGTCAATGGGCGACGCGACGAGTCCATCGGCGTACATCGGTGGTGGGCTTGTCGATAAGAGGCTCGTAGCGGGCGGCGTCACTGCTCGGGACGTAGAAGCGGACGTAGCAGTCCCCGGCCTTGAATGCGCAGATGATGTTCCGGTTCCGGGTCTGTTGGACGACGTTCCGGTCCCAGGACGTGACGCAGACGCAAACGTGAGAGCGGCGTCGTAGGGCGAGTACGCGTCGTACGTCCCGCTATCCGTCAACTTCCTCTCCCTCTCCCTCTCCGCGCCCTCCCTTTCGTTCTCCGCGTCCAGATCGTCTCCGCTCTTACTCTTGCCCCTCCTCCTCCCCTTCCCACTCGCCGACTCGAGCGACGAGTCCGTCGGCTGTCTTCCAACAGCAGATTCCTTCCTCTGCCTCTCAACTCCAGCCGCGGAGTCCTTCCTCGCTCTCGAAGCCCGCGCATTCGAATCGGCCCTCTGCCTCCCCTCAGCCGTAATCCTCTGCCTCCCCGCACCTGCGCCTGAACCAGGCTCAATCGGCGGACTCAACGCGCGCGCAGTAGGCGCAGGACTCGGCGACAGCGCCCGCAAAGGCGCCTCAGGACTGAGTACTCTCGACGACGTCGCAGGCGAAGGAGAAATCCCGCGCGAAGAGCCCGGTGGTGGAGACAGCATCCTCTCCGACCCCGGCGGCGGACTCAGCACGCGCTCGGAATGCGCTGGGGTCTGCGTAGAAGTGGGCGCGGGCTGTTGAACGCGCCTCAACACGCCGTCCGGTCCGCGGATGTACGACACCGTCCCTCCCCCTCCCCCTCCGTTCGGCTGCGAAACAGACGACGAGCGCGGGGGCGGCGCGAACGTCTCGCGTTCCCTTTCGGGAGGCGTGGGAATCTGCTGCGATGCTGATCTTTGCACTTGCACCGATTGCGCTTGAGGTGGAGGACCGTATCCCTGTGGACCCCTCAGTCTCTGCTGCTGCTGCTGTTGAAATCCCGGCGCAAGTTGAGGTGCTGCTGAAGATGATGGTGCAGAAGGAGGTTGAGGCGGGCCAGACGCTGGAATCGCTCTGGGCGCCGCACCGCTGTCCTGCGCGCCGAATATGAGCGGACCTCGTCGGGCGGGGAATATCTGGCCCGGTTTCACGCTCGGCGCTCCCCCTCCTACACCAACTCCAGCCACCCCCGACGACGCCTTCCTCTGTACCGGCTGCGGCGGCGCATACGCCTCTTGACCTTGCGCAGGGAGTCCGGAGATGCTAGGCGCAGGACTGGCGAACGAGGCCGGATCGAACTCTTCGTGCGATGGGTCTGCATAGAGGTTCACGGGTCCGCCTGAGTGTACAGAGCGCTGAGAGGGCTGCTTCGACAAGCGCTTATGCAGATGATTATGATTATGCTGCTGCTGCTGTTGGAATTGCGAGGGCGGTGGATGCGGGAGGCGGTGGAGATGGCCGTCTAATGAACGTGGACCCGCACCGTGCCCGTCGATCGATCTCGGTCCCATGTGCGAGTCGATGGAGCGTGTACCGTGGCCGTCGACGCTTTGAGGGGGCGTGATGACGCCGTTTGGTCCGCGCATGAAGGAGGGTGGCGGGGAGTGCGGCGCGCGGGATTGTTGTGGGACTTGGGAGGAGGATGGGGCGCGTTTGACAAGTTTCGAGGCGCGGCGGGGGGTCGTTGGTTGGATCTGTGATGTAAGATGAACGTGAGTAATAGTATAAACGATTGAGAATGTGATGCACATACCGGTGCCTGTTGAGCGTATGCTGAGCCCATACTATCCCTCTGCATGATAACCATTAGCACAAAGTAGACTTGTGGCACATATAATATAAACTCGCCTTTGACCGTCCATTAAGCCCATCCATCTCCGGATCCCTCGGCATAGCAGGCGGCGTCGCGAACCTCGGCGCCGCGAACGGGTCGTCCAGCACGCTGCTCATAGGCCTGACAACATTTGTAGGCGCAAGAGCGGGGCTAGTCGGTGGACTCGGCAGCCCTCCCTGTCCTTGTCCGTTCATATCCCTGATACCACTACCCCCACCGTTCATCTCCCTCCCTCCATTATATCCGTTGCCATTTCCATTCCTGAATCCAGACGAGGAAGAGCTCTTTCCGATCCTGGGCGCCTCCTGAACGGGTGCGGGCGTAGGAAGCGCCTTGTCTCTACCGCCGGCTTGGGCCCGTGCAGCTTTACTCGCGAGCGGCATCGGCCCGCCTATACTCGGTCTCGCTCCCGAGCCCTGGCCAACGTCGTCCACGGTGGGGCTGGCACTGCCGGACCGTGCGAAACGGGCGTATAGTGGTGGAGGCGCTTCGAGGGAGGATGTGGACGTGGATGCGGGTAAGGGCGGAGGTGGTGCGAGTGCCGGCGCGGGTTCGCGCGAGTGGGACTTTTTGCGCAGGAGGGCTTTCATTGGCGTATGTTCGGAGGAGTGTGTTTCTTAGAGAGGTAGGTGGTTGACACGGTGTTCAGAGCAGGTTCAGGCCTTCAAAGGATGATGCAAGAGTGCAACGTTCAAGAGATGTCAGACGCCGAGATCAAGAGATGAGGCCGTAGAGACGTCAGTCGAACAACAATTGGAACTAGACCGTACAGGGAAGAACTGGAGAAACTAGTACATGGGAGTTGGACAGCTGGCAGGGAACGAGGCGCCGGGCACGATGGCGTTGGTGGTTGAAGTATGTACAAGCGCGCACGCACGCAAATTCTGACGTTGAGCGCGTTGTTTGTTGCCGCTCGACCTGCGCGATCATCTCTCCGGACAGTCCGCGGCCCTGTTCCTGGAGACCGTCGTCGGGTACGTTCCCGCTTGTTTCCAGCTTCCATCTACAGGGAAGGCAGCTCTTCTGCCTAATCTATGGCCAGCGCCGAAGTCTAGCCTTGTGCTACCGTTTGTCTCAAAGGATCTGGCAATGCGTATGCTACCTGCGTATAGAAGTGCGGGAGATGCCGATGCGGCAACGCGGGCAAAGCTCGGCGACAGCCCTCGTTCCATTTCATTTCCTTTGTTCGCGCACCCACGCCCACGCACAGCTGCGGCTCACCGTTCTGCTCGGCTGTCGAGACAAACTCAAAGTCGACATCCTTCCAGTCCGAGTCGCCGCTCTTACCCCTGCGAAATATGATTATTCCAGGACGTACCTCGTCTCATACGCGGCCTCGTAAGTATGACGCTCGACGTACCAATATAGGACACTTGACCGACATCGCGGCCAATGACCATCTTATCAGCGACCCTACCCGCCCATCGACATCGTACACCCAAACACGATCGGCATTTCAGAGCGTGAGCCCAGACCGCACAACTCGCCGTCCTGCCAACAGATACGCTCGACAATTCTGCTGCGTTGCGTACCCAAGCCTTCGCCGATTCAGCCCTCCAGCCGGCCGGCCCGTTGATGCTCGTCATTGACAACACCGCTGATCGAGAGACCCAACTGTACCTCTGTGAGCTGTAAGTATGGTCGCCAGTGGCGACAGTCCAACACATCGTACCTTGACTACGTTCTCGCGCAGCCCATGCGCCCAGACGCGTCCGAGGTCGACATTTCAACTGCGGCCACGACAAGCAAGCTACTCTCCCAAATCGTCGCCCGTTGCGCCCGCCGCGCCCGGCCCGCCGGAAACCGCCTTGCGCCTGTTGAAATCGGCGCGGCCGCCAGGAGATCTGCCGGGCTCAAAGTCGTGAATGGCCCCGCGCGTCGCGATGCGCGCGACTGCAAGCGGGATACGGATGCGCGAGGTGCGGGTGATGGGATCGAGAGGATGAGCGGTGGGCACTGTACCCGCCCACCGTGCATCCTGATGGAGGCTCAAGCCGGAGATTGGAAGGGTTCGCATCTGGAAGATGTTGTATGCTTATTATGATTCTGTACGTTACTGAGTGGAATACGAATTGCATGTACAGAGTTGGTACAGAGCAAACATCTGGGATCTGCAGTCGCGCTAGGGTTAGGGTTAGCGCGAGTACTTACCACGCATGTCTGATATTCCTCATGACCATGATGCCTCTCACCATTCGTCATGATGCATGAACGAGCAAGAGCCGTTCGGATTTTCATTCGCATACTACTTGAAGATTGCCGCTGGCTCATTTTGGAATGAAAAGGTTCATAGTATTGACATTTACTGGAACGTCACGGTGTTTGGGACCGGTTGCCCTAGAAGTTCGAGTACTTCCAGAGCATCCGATCCAGCGCCAGCTCGTCATCATACATCGGCAATATATCACGAAGCATATTGCGCCACTCCTTAGAGCGCGGGCACTGAGCGACCGAGGATACGATCTCCCAATACTCCGGGAGCCATGCCGCACACTCCCAATCAACGAGACCCACGGGGCGGTAGTTTGAGTCGACCAGGATATTGCCCGGTGTAAGATCGCCGTGGGTGAAATGGAGGCGGTAAGCCTTTTGATCTCGTGCATCTCCCAGTGCGTGGGTCTCGGGGGGATCGGCACGCCGAACGCGTAGGCAGTTCTGCTCGTGGAATGCCTGCAACGTGGAGAAGGGCCCGACACTACGGCTATGAGATAGCCTGTAGCTGACGAAAGACGTCGTCCCGACGCCAGAGATCATATTATCAGGAGGCTGGGTAAGAGCGCGAAGCTGCATCATCCAATTCCGGAGGGTATCCGAGAGCGTCGACATCTGGTCTTTGGAGAGTGTAGTCAGATCTACACGGAGATCATACATAGATCTTCCAGAGAGCTCGGTCATCAGCACGCATATGCCAGTACCGTCACTAGATGGTGTGTTAATGACGTCTAGGATGGTCGGGATTGGTATCGCCGTGCGAGTACCGACAAGTTGGGTGGAAAGTGCTTCTACGACCCTGATGCTGCGCGATTTCAAAACGAGCCCAAAGGGTAGTCTCGTAGCGAACGGTGAGGAAGTTGGCCTTCCGTAGTGCGTTAGAGCTCGGTATGCGAGGCTCCGTAGTTTGACTGGCATTTTCAACCAAAAAGACCACAAAAAGCTAGCCAGCGATGGGTGTCTGGGAATCATGTCAAGATCATGATTCACGATTCATGGATGTTGCTTACGGACCTACGGTACTTAAAGAGTGAGGCAGGAGCATCATCTTTGAGCTCCATGATTGCGGCGAGGAGGGTGTAGGCCCGACCCTCAACGATCCAAGTAGTCCAAGATGGTGGCAAGTGTCAAGACGGTCCAGGTGGACCAGGTGTGAAGCACGACGCGTTCGGGTCATCGGTCCGAACAACGGCCCCGAATTTCCGAACCACCATGATGGGTCTCAACTCTCGCCACCATGTCAGAATCGACGGACTTCGTATTCCGCCCTATCATATCAAGCTTGTACGCCAGATGATACGGCCGGAACGCAGCTACAACTGCGTCACCGCATCTTGTCGATTCTTGGAGCTGGGTGTGATGCCATGCAGGGCATACAGACGCTACTCGTCTCCATGGCCGACATAGCAGCTAGATATGACCAACTCACGCTTAGCGTGCAATAATGCAGCGCTCTACGCGACAGCTGTTGTCGTGATATATGAAGTGCTTTTGCTGAGGCTGTGGATACACGCCCTCAGTTATAAGTCCGCGTTCAAGGTCGCAGCTTACGACCCGCTACAATCATCCCCTGCAAGCGACCATGCCCTCCACTACAGCATCCATTGAACAAGTCGCCGGTCAAATCTTCGACTACATCATTGTCGGTGGCGGTACCGCCGGCCTCGTACTCGCCAATCGCCTCTCCGAAGACCCGTCCAACACGGTTTTGGTTCTGGAAGCCGGAGGCGCTCACTTCGACGACGCCATGACATGTACGCAAACCACGCCCAGTAACATCTACTTTTACAACTGACATGCGCGACAGCCGACCTAGGCGCGTATCTGAAAGCTTTTGGCAACCCCGAGTATGACTGGGGATTCGAGACCGTTCGTGATGGCCCCCGTCATCGGGTTATACCGTCGCTCTGATACTGCATGAAGGTCCCTCAAGAGAATGCCGATGGCGGTGTGTATCCATGGAACAGGTGCGCACATCCACTTCGCAACTCCGAGTGAGTCTTGTTCTCATGTGCGTCTTCTGTAGGGGTAAAGGACTGGGCGGCTCTTCGGCTATCAACTTCTACACTTGGCTAAGGGCCTCCAAGGCCGACATCGACGGTGAGCAATCGTTCTCCCTCTTCTTCAATTCGCTGGTAGGTGCTGATCCTCGATCCAGCATGGGAAACGCTCGGAAATCCGGGATGGAACTGGGCCCAGTACTTGAAGTACTCGAAGAAGTCCGAACAGTGAGTGTTTGAGCCTCGTGGATACTTGTTGCACGCACTTCAAGTTGACGAATACTGCGACAGCTTCTTTTCTCCCGTTGACGAGTGCAAACCCGAGTCCGTTACCTATGACGCGGAGTTCCATGGGAGTGAAGGTGTGTGCGCTGTCAGAATAGCCGCTACTATGTTCTGATGCCATGGCAGGTCCCATCGCTGTGAGCTTTCCGCGCGCGTACAGTGGCGTCGATGATGTGGTCAGAGATGCGCTGCATGAAGCAGGGCTGCCTGGGGTCACAGATGCGGTTCGTCTATCCTCCTCACAGATGGAGGTTATCATGGTAATGACAATGCTGACGCCTCGATAGCAAGCTGGCGCCGATGTTGGAACCAAATACGTTCAAGCGACCATCGATCCGCGTACGAACAAGCGATCATCCGCGCTGGCCTACCTAAAGCCCGTTCTCGCTCGGCCCAATCTCGTCGTACTTGTCAATGCCTTGGTACACAGGATCGTGTTCAACTCCACTTTGGACGCGTCAGGACTCACCGCCACGGGCGTTGAGTTTGGATACCACCAGAAGATCCATCAGGCCAACGCCAATCGCGAAGTCTTGCTTTCCGCTGGGTAAGAGAGCTCATGCAGTTGTCTCTAGTGGATGATACTGACCTCTCGAACCAGCACCATACAGTCCCCCAAGCTGCTCGAACTCTCGGGCATAGGTAACCCGGCTATCCTGACCGATCTCGGCGTTGAGCCGATCATCGATTTGCCCTCGGTTGGCGAGAACGTGCAGGAACATCTGCACGTTGCGATAACTTGGGGTAGGCACTACTCCGCCCAATGCTCACGAGGGTCTCCTGATGCTGATGGCTCCCCAACAGAACTGAAGGACTCGCCACACTTACAAGAGATTGGACCAATCCGGACCAGCAGTGACATAGATCCAGGAGCATCCTCGCCGTGCGCTACCCAAGCTTCGGTGCTATTGATCTGCGCTGACTGAAGTTGATCTCCAGTCCTGGCTTGATTGGGACTTATCTCTTGCCTCTATCGCAGACGAGCCTCTGCACTGGAGATCTCGCCTCACAGCTCAAGTCAAGCTCTACGCGCGGACTGGAGGAGCAATGGAAAGTACAACTCAAGGCCGCGAAGAACGGGTCGGGCATCGGTGCAATACTGAGCTTTCCAGGACATTTGTCGGCCCCCAGTGAGTCGTCTATCGTCGTTGTGTGTCTGTTATATCTGATGCACTATAGATCCTCCGGAACCCGGCAAGAGATACCACACTCTTATCACTGCGCTGAATAAGCCGTTCTCCCGTGGGTCCATAGTGCGTGAACCTGATTGTGCTTTGACCGCAATTCTCACGTTTGCCAGCACGCGACCTCTCAGGATCCTGCTACCCATCCGTCCGCGAATCCCCGTTACTTTGAACAAGACATAGGTACGCAATGCTTGTGCCTCTTGATACACCCACCCACGGCAACTGATGAGAATTCGCGTAGACCTCGCCATCTTGACGGACCTTACGAAGTTTGTGCGGAGTTTGGCGTTCAAAGACGAACTCGCCTCAGTCTTAGGTCAAGAAGTCAATCCTGGCCCGCACGTTCAGACAGACGAAGAAATACACGCATGGATCAAGAAGGCCATGCAAACTACCTATCACTCCGCCGGGTCGTGCTCGATGCTACCACGGGAGAAAGGAGGAGTGATTGACTCCAGTCTCAGAGTTTATGGCACGCGGAACGTACGCGTCGCCGACCTGAGTGTCGTGCCTCTCCACATCGGCTGTCAGACTCAAGCTACGGTCTATGCAATCGCTGAGCAAGGTTCGTACTTCATTCGTCTTTCATTAAGCTCGACTGACCAGTGTGGGGGACATTCAGCAGCAGATATCATCAAGCTGGGGAAGGCGTAGACACGAATAATGACTACAAGTCTCCATACGATGAAGTGCCCATCTTTGTAGAATATCGCATTGGTGGGCTATATACACTGTATACACGTCCTCTTACGGCGAGCTCTGGGGGATTGAATCATAAATGAGGCAGCCTCAGGCAGCCTGCATCACTTCAGCTTCGGCTTTCGCATTCCGTAATGTCACTGGGCTTATTCCAGGCAACCTACGTCTTCCATTGTCATGCTTCAAGTTCATGCGTTGGTGCGCGAGGGCACCCTATCGAAGGTCGAAGTCCTACAGTTTGGCTTCTACTTCTCAGCCGAAGGCGTCGACTGATCCTTCATTCTTTCCTACTGAAGAAGAACGGGCTCTTCGCCGCCACTACGCATGTAGCCCTTGACAGAAGAGCTCTCTTGCCGAGCCTGCACACAATTCGTACGGATCAATACGCGCCGTGGAGGAGCAAGGATATAACGGCCGCGCGGACTCGCGCCGATAGCTGCCGCTAGAGCACAAGCTGATTGTAGCGCGCTACCTATTCGCATACGGCCATTTTACTTGTGTGATTGGTGATCGGAAGCTACGCTCGGACCTCGTCGGAGCAGGGCCGCTGCATGTGGTCACATCTCAGAACAGGACGTAGTATGATTTCCCTACACTTTACACGACAGTGTGAATAAGACACCCGGAGTCATGATATAACATCTCACGCGAAGACACCCTCTAAGATTGCGATGGTGCAGCAGATGATGTGTGCACCAATCCCGACGCAGATACTGCAACTGCAGGCATGTATGTGTTCTGGACTGGTCTCCTGTCAGCCTCTGTAGCGCTACAGCCAATGCGGTGGTCATACCTGACGCAGTAGACCCTGAGTGGTCCATCTTATACTTCAGATAAGTGCCGCTCACGATGATTTGATCCATGTCCGCGAGGACGTCGTCCTCGATGTGGAAGATCGTGTGGAATCCGGTCGCTGGGTCATCTCCATACTTCGGAGGTCGAAGATACGCGACCTCGATTCCATCTGAAGTGCGAAGCTGCTTTCATCAGAGAAAATGTCAGAGAGCGCGCTCTTGACACGTACAATCAGCTCCCGGTCATCTGCGGTCCATATGAAGGTGGCGGCAGTCGGCGTCCTGATCGTCCATATCCTACTGGATGATGTTAGCATCGCTCTGCGGCACTAAGTATAGCGGGTTACGGACCTCTTCCCCTCCTTTCTAACGTACTTCTTCGCTTTGATCGTCGTCCGCTCTCCTATAATCTCTGCGTAACTCTCCCCAGCGCGTGTGATAGTAGGGACAGTAGCCAGAAGCTCGATGTCCGTCAACTCGATCGTGTCCGCGAGTAGCTCTCGGCAACAGATACTAGCGATCTGGCTGAAGCGGTTCTCAGAGTGCTTGACTAAGTCTAGTGTCGTAAAACGTGTGGCATGATGTGCTGTCAAGGTGTATGCCGCCTTCCCAGTAGATACGTCGACATAGTCAGTTTGGAAGACGGCGGGGCGCTCGAGTCTGAAACGCATTGAAGCAATTGGCAATAGTGCTCTGGGTGGAACGTCGAGCCAGCTTTCTACGACGCCTTTATGTGCTTGCGTAAGGACCTATGCAGTACAGCGCCGTCAGTGGGTGCACGCTAGCATGATTACAGGCGCCATACAAGACCCACACTGGAGCATAGCTGCAGCTCTTAGCGGGAAGATAGACTCTTCCGTACGATGCGGCAAGTTTGAGAACGTCGTTATGCCTTCTAAAATGAACGGATTCCAGGTACCCGTTCGGAGAGGAGTGGATGAAATCGGCCTAAACGCGAGATACGAGCGTCCCGCGTCTCTTCGTCTTGACGCGATCCACATAGTATGGCGGAATGACTCAAAGAATGTGGGAGGGACCCCTCAGTATCGCGATCAGCGACGTAAGAATTCTAGTTCTGAGACAGAAGAGTGGAGGTATAGTCAGTTCTGAGAACACCCAAGGGCGAACCATGTCCCGGTGTGTTCGAATGGCAGATGGGAGTGCGGAGTGAAAGACGTCGCGCGGCGACACACCCATCGGATGAACGGCCCGACCCACGCGATGAACACGAATTCCTGCCAACTCCGTTTTGCTGTCTACTACGACTATGGGTTGTGCATCCGTCTTCGGTCATTTTCAATCTCTGTGAACACATTTGGCTTGTAAAGCGCTTGGCCGCTGCGGGTGAAGGCACAGTTGCAGGACGACGTTTCATCCGCTCAACGCTGGACGACTCCGAGTTTAGGCTTCTCGCTGCGCCTCATCACGACTACCCTACGGACTTCCCTTCTCCGTGTACAGTTGGAAGCACCTTCAGCCCCTGTCTTCCTACACAAAAGATTCTTCTCCCCAATGCTATGGGGTATGTCTCTGCCTATCAGGGTCACAAGTTCACGCCAATGAGCCACGGGACGCCTCCGGCTGTCGCCCAGACCGACTTATCCTTCGGCTACACGGTCACCTGCTCCCTTTCATTCAGCTCTATATAAATCAACACCATCAAATGGGACGAACCGTCCTGTCTTCTTGTCGAGTATGATTCAAGCACCACACCCCGACATCACCAAGGCCCAGCTCCCAACGCTAGACCGCCTCGGTGTCTCGCCACCATCGCAGGTCGACGCGCTTTCCGTTGCGCGCAGGTGGTTCTCCTCATTCTCCTCCGCTCTGCAAAGCTCCGATGCAAGCGCGATTGCCCAGCTCTGCGTTCCGGACGTATTTTGGCGTGATTTGCTTGCTTTGACTTGGGACTTCCGTACCTTCTACGGCACCGATTCGGTCTCTACCTTCCTCAACGACCGACTCTCTCTCAGCCAGGTCACGAACCTGAAGCTGAATGAGAAGGACGTCGAATATGTACAGCCGTACGAGGACCTCGCCTGGATACAGGCCTTTTGGAGCTTCGAGACAGCAACCGGGCTCGGGAGCGGCGTCGTGCGTCTCGTGCCGACACAGGCTGCCGAATGGAAGGCGCATGCAGTTCTCACCAACTTGGAGGATCTGAAGGGTCACCCTGAGAAGACCGGCCCGTTACGCGAGCAAGCGCCAAACCATGGGAAATGGCTTGAACAGAGAAGACGCGAGACTGAATGCGAAGGCGAGGAGAATCAACCTAAAGTAATGTTCACCACGTAAGAGATTGTGTCGAGATAGGCGCTGATGAACATTTAGGTCTTAGTCGTCGGAGCGGGTCAGAGCGGGTTGGAGATTGCGGCGCGGTTGAAGTACTTGGGGATAAAGACCCTCATCGTTGAGAAGAAGTCGCGTGTTGGCGATCTATGGCGCTCAAGATATGAGGCATTGTGTCTTCACGACACCGTTTGTAAGTATCGTCTCTCTATGTACCGTGATCCTCGTTCTGACGTCTTCAACAGGGTATGACCATATGCCGTACATTCCGTGCGTGGACCATCCACATTCACGATTAGTGTGACTCACTTCTCTGCAGGTTCCCTCCTACCTGGCCAGTCTATGCTCCTGCACCCAAACTCGCGGCGTGGCTTGAGCACTACGCCGAAGCCCTCGAGCTCGACGTATGGCTCTCTTCCAACATCACCTCTTGCGTTCAAGACCCAAAGACTCTGAAGTGGACAGTCGAGATTGACCGCCCAGACGGCTCCAAGCGCACACTCATCGTGAATCACGTTGTGTTTGCTGTCGGTATCGGCGGCGGAGTCATGCGTATTCCGAGCTTTCCTGGAACGGACAAGTTCGCCGGCAAGATCATCCACTCCGCGCAGTTTACTACCGCAAAGGACTACATCGGCAAGAAGGTCGTCGTGGTCGGCGCCTGCACGAGCGCGCACGATATCTGTGCGGACTTCTACGAGCATGGAGTTGACGTGACAATGTTCCAGCGCGGGTCAACGTACATCATGAGCACGAAGCACGGCGTGCGCCGTCTCCTAGGTGGCTTGTACCACGAAGGCGCGAATACGGACCGTGCCGACAGAATTAACGCGTCTTTCCCGAACATGCTTCTCAAACTCATGCACCAGCGTGTCGTGAAGGATATCGCGGAAGATGATAAGGAGGTGCTGGAGGGTTTGAAGCGCGTCGGTTTCCGAACCAATATGGGCATCGACGGATCGGGCTTCTTGATCCTTGCGTGGTCCAAGCTCGGCGGATACTACCTTGGTGTGTGCAGGAGCGATGCTCTGATGAGGCCTGAAACTGACGCTGAGCCGTAGATGTTGGAACTTCCACTCTCATCGCCGAGGGCAAGATCAAGTTGAAGAACGACGCTCAGATCTCGCATTTCAGCGAGAAGGGAATCGAGTTCGATAATGGCTCGCATCTCGACGCCGATGTGGTCATCTTCGCGACCGGGTACGGAGACGGACGCGAACCATACCGCGCGGTGCTTGGAGATGAGGTCGGTGACAAGCTCAAGCCAATCTGGGGTCTTGATAGCGAAGGAGAGCTGAATAGCGCTTGGCGCGACATCGGGGTTCCCAGGCTGTACTGTATGATGGGTGCGTTTTGCGACCGAGGCAACAATGCGTCTCCATGCTGACATCGTACCAGGCAACCTTGCGCTTGGTCGCTTCCACTCAAAGCATGTCGCACTCCGTAAGCATACTTCCCATCACACGCGATCTCAGCCTGTCCTGATCTGAGGTTGCTAGAGATCAAAGCTGTAGAGGAGGGGCTATGGGACGGATTAGACCGCTACAGTCAAGGCCAAGTCTCTCAGTAGAAGCCTCACGATTGCTTGACATACAATATACACTGATTCTCCTATATTTGTACCACATAAACAAATGTAAATTAAAGCTAGGATCGGATCGCTATAAATTCGGACTCATTGCAAATCGGAACTCGGGCCGCCACTCCGAAGGTTAGGGACTGGCGTTGACGCGCGCAAACAACAACACTCGCTTGGTCTGCAACGTCCATCAGCATCCATCGCCTGCATACAATCAATTGCACTTCGCCGGTTTAAGCTTTTCAGCACTTCCCGTCACTAAATGTACCAGGTTGTGGCACGCCTCAGCTCTTGTCAACACGTTGTGGTAATTTCATCATTGGCACGCCCTACAGCAGTAGCCGCCTACAAGCATTCATCAGCGCTAGATGACTACAGGGCTGCTTCTGCTCCGATTTCACGATGCCTATCTTCGACAATTGTCACCGCAGAGACCGTTCTGTAGCGGCTGCAGAGCAGTACGCTCACTTCGGAAACCTATTCCTGCCACGAAACGCACTAAATCGCGGCGTCTGTGCAGTTGAGGCCCCACTACTTGAACGTAATATGCGTTTAGATCCTGCTATAAATGGGGAAGTGCAGTAAAGGCTCGTACCCTCGACGACCATGGCCCACGAGCATGCGAACGAACTTCCCGACATCACCCAGGCCTGTTTGCCGACGTTCTCCTTCCTGGGCGTTACACCTCTCGACACGATTGATGCGTCGTCCATAGCCCGAACATGGTTCTCAGCGTTCTCGCAATCCATCTGCGCTGGAAACGTTGATGCCGTCGTAGCGCTCTGCTTCCGCGAGGTCTTCTGGCGCGACCTACTCGCTCTGACTTGGGACTTGCGCACCATCTACTCGACTCATCGCGTGAAACCTTTCCTCGCCGAGAGGCTCCCCTTCGCCAAGCTCTCGAAGATAGAGCTGAATGAGGCTAGCGCGCAACTGCAGAAGCCCTTCGAGGATGTTGCATGGATACAGGCAGAGTTTGCTTTCGAGACCGCGGTCGGGAAGGGCGTGGGGATGTTTAGGCTCATACAGACTCCCGAAGGATGGAAGGCACATGCGATACTCACTGCGCTCGAAGATTTAAGCGCCTGCACCAGCCTCGCTGGGTCCCGAGATCCCGATATACATCACCGTGGATGGCGGAACCGACGCAGGCAGGAGCTTGAGTGCAGTAGTGCCGAGACGCACCCGAAGGTGAGCAAAGGACTCCGTCGACAGCATGATATCATACTCACCATACTTAGGTTCTCATCGTCGGCGCTGGTCTGTGCGGACTGATATTGGCTTCTCGGCTCAAGGCGCTCGGGATAAAGCCTCTTCTGGTCGATAAGAGCGAACGCATAGGAGACACGTGGAGGAACCGGTACGACAGCTGCTGTCTACACAGCCCCGTCTGTGAGTCTTGCTATCCGCTTCAAGTGGCGGCCCCGTGCTCACTCCCGCCGTAGGGTTTGACCAAATGCCCTACTTGCCGTCCGTACTGCCGCGTAATGGGTCCTTCGTCTTGATTAACGACTGTTCTCAGATTCCCGACGACATGGCCCATCTTCCCTCACGCGTACAAGCTCGCCGACTGGCTCGAGAGCTACGCCAACGCTCTTGAGCTTGATGTCTGGACCTCATCCAAGGTTGCTCATGCAACTCAGGATCCTACATCGTTGGAGTGGACTGTGGACATTGTTCGCGACGGCCAAAACGTGAAGCTCAACGTCCCTCATCTTGTATTCGCGACCGGTGTCGGAGGTGGTGTCCCTAACGTTCCCAGCATACCAGGCTCGGTAACTCGAGTACAATCAGTGCCACGATCGAGACTCGGGCTGACCCGCTTGTAGGAGCTGTACAAGGGACAAGTCCTGCATGCCAGCAGTTTCAAGACAGGCAAGGACTTCACCGGGAAAAAGGTCATAGTGGTCGGTGCGTGCACATCAGCCTTCGACGTCTGCAGCAACCTGTATGACAATGGCGCCGGTGCGTCTGTTCTGCACCCCGTGACGAATGGTGCCGTATTGACTTGGCCACGATAGATGTCACCATGTTCCAGCGCAGCTCGACCTACGTAGTCTCGAGTGCTGCCGTTGGTGTAGTCCTCGCCCCACTGTACCACGAAGGCGCGGACCCCGACCACTCGGATCTGATTGGCGCTTCCTTCCCGAACTGGCTCTCGAAGGGCATGCATCAACGAGTCGCGGTCGGGCTAGCGCAGATGGACAAGTGCGTGCGAGACGACGAATGAAGACCACCGTTGTCTGAACTCATGTACTGCAGGGAGATTCTCGACGGGTTGAAGTCCGTTGGCTTCCGTCTGAACTCGGGCATGGACGGCGCAGGCTTCCTGCTTCTCGCTGGCGAGCGTCTGGGCGGATTCTACCCCGGTGAGCCAGAGTCTCTCAGCTCATCGCGCCCCTCTAGGTGCTCACTGAGATCTTGCTCTACAGATGTCGGAGGGAGCAAGTACCTCATCGATCACAAAGTGAAGCTCAAGAACGATGCTCAGATCAAGGGGTTCTCAGCATCCGGCCTTGTCTTTGACGATGGGTGCTCACTCGAAGCTGACGCTGTCATCTTCGCCACAGGGTATGATGCCAATGATCTGTTTCAGCTGTCGCTAGTGCTGATGCAACTCTCGCAGTTATGGCGATACCCGCGAAGCATATCGTTCAGTATTGGGCGACGAAGTCACTGCGAAGCTCAACCCGCTCTGGGGTCTCGACGATGAGGGAGAGATACAAGGCGCCTGGCGCGACTCCGGAGTACCACATATGTGGTGCATGTCGGGCAACCTCGCCATGAGCCGGTTCTTCTCGAGGCACCTCGCACTTCGTGCGCACACCTTTCCGAATTTGTGTGGGAGATTGCTGATACGGTTTTGCAGAGATCAAGGCGATCGAGGAAGGTGTCTGGGACGGCTTCGACCGTTATCAGAGCCGTTGAAGAGTTCCAAGCGAGGAGTATATTGATACAGCTATGATACAAGGAGTGAAACGAGATATTCCCATAAGATACAGATACAGACTGAGATAACCCCGACAAGAGACCTACAAGATCCAATTCTTCGTAACATGCTTCACCAATGTACTACTATTCATCATCGCCGGAACATCCATCTGCGCATCCGTACCATTCCCGGTCATAACCGTGTCAATCCACTCGGTGTTGGTACCCCACTTGCTGAAGAACTGCGGTATCATGCCCGTGAGACTCGGTTCCTCGATGAGCAAGGTGAAGACCGCGCGCCAGGCGCTGTCTAGCGCGCCCTCGACCCAAGCGTGACGCGTGCTGAGCGCTTCACCGGCGAAGTGTAGACGGCCACCTG